ACACATAAGAGAACCCACACAGGGGAGAGACCATACAAGTGTGCAAAGTGTGGGAAGAGCTTCATCGAGAAGTCGAAACTGAATAGACACCAGAGAACCCATCTGGAAAAAGAACTTTACGAATGCGCAGAGTGTGGGAGAATTTTTAGCATCCGGTCCAACCTCCTTCGGCACGAGACCGCCCACAGAGGAGAGAAATCGTTTACGTGCTTCAGCTGCGGGAAAAGCTTCAACCAGTCATCAAAGCTGATGAGGCACGAGAGGATCCACACGGGAGAGAAACCCTACTCCTGCGCCGACTGCGGGAAAAGTTTCAGCCAGACCTCTGAGCTCCTCCGACACGAGAGAATCCACACGGGAGAGAAGCCATATAAATGCGCCATCTGTGGGAAGTGCTTCAACCGGAGGTCACACCTGAACACCCACGGGGCGACCCACGTCGGAGGCCAACCTTACAAATGGCCAGACAGCGGAGCGAGCTACGAAAACGGTTCCCTTCTTGTGGCAAACGTGAATCCCCCCGAGCAGTTCTATGCGGGGAACCAACCCTATAAATGTTTAGAGGGCCAGAAGGACTATGGTCGTGGCTCCCTCCTCATCGCAGGCATGAATTCGCACGGAGAAGCGCATATAGAAGGCCAGCTGTACGAATGGCCAAACACGGAGACCAGCTACAGTCACTGCTCCCTTCTCATTACTAGCATCAATCCACAAGAAGGAATCCATGCGCAAGAACAAACATACAGGTCCGCGGATAATGACACGAACTGCAGCCGCGGTGGCTCGTTTTATCTAACCAGCACAAATGCCCACGAGGGGATCATTGCGGGAAGTCAAGCATATAAATGCCGGAGTGGCAACGATGAAAGCCACAAGGGTCCCTCGCTCCTTACAACGGATGTGGGCAACCGGAGGGAAGAGAAGGTGTTTAAGTGTTCCGAGTGCGGGAAGTGCTTTAACTGGAAGTCGCACTTTGTTAGGCACAAGAGAATCCATACGGGAGAAAAGCCGTACTGCTGTCCGGACTGTGGGAAAAGCTTCAATCGGAGGTCGCACCTTGTCAGGCATGGGAGGACTCACACAGGACTGAGGCCGTTCGCTCAGGCTGAGGAGGAAACTTTGGTTCAGAATCTGGTCATCTCGAACCCAAGTGAATCTGTGCCTGAGGGAAACGGTATAAACACACAGCCTTCTCACGCTGTATTACAGACTGGCGAAGTCATGCGGGAGACAAACCTTATGAATATTCTGTGACATACCTTATTGCACATGAAAGAACCCAGACGCGGAGGAAACAACTTCCCGTTGTGCATCATTTCTTGCTAGACACAGGATACACGCACAGGGGACACTATGGCTTAGTTTACACCAAGGGTGGAAGAGATGGTTAAGGAGTTCCTAGACTGCTAGTACTTAAGTTGCCCAGGAGAGGACCATATGATTGTTTGAGCATCTGGCTGTGTGATTGACTCCAGCACATGCACGCCCTATGTAAATGCGGCACTCTACTGCACAAGCATGTGTGATCTGTGCGTACAGTGGTACCTCGGGTTACATACGCTTCAGGTTAAAGACTCCCCTAAGCCAGAAATAGTGCTTCAGGTTAAGAACTTTGCTTCAGGATGAGAACAGAAATCGTGCTCCGGCGGCGCAGCAGCAGCAGGAGGCCACCTTAGCTAAAGTGGTAAAAAGGTAAAGGTACCCCTGCCCGTACGGGCCAGTCTTGACAGACTCTAGGGTTGTGCGCCCATCTCACTCAAGAGGCCGGGGGCCAGCGCTGTCCGGAGACACTTCCGGGTCACGTGGCCAGCGTGACATCGCTGCTCTGGCGAGCCAGAGCCGCACACAGAAACGCCGTTTACCTTCCCGCTAGTAAGCGGTCCCTATTTATCTACTTGCACCCGGGAGTGCTTTCAAACTGCTAGGTTGGCAGGCGCTGGGACCGAGCAACGGGAGCTTACCCCGTCGCGGGGATTCGAACCGCCGACCTTTCGATCGGCAAGCCCTAGGCGCTGAGGCTTTTACCCACAGCGCCACCCGCGTCCCAGCTAAAGTGGTACCTCAGGTTAAAAACAGTTTCAGGTTAAGAACGGACCTCCGGAACGAATTAAGTACTTAACCCGAGGTACCACTGTATAGGGTTATTGCCAATGCAACTCCTGCTCAGAGTAGACCCAGTGAAATTAAGACACCTAAGTTAGGACTGTCCATCAGTTTCAATAGGTCTGTGTCAAGTAGGACTGGCACTGATTACAACTCGTAATAATGTACCTCCTGTGTTAAAAGCCTTTCTGGGTAGCAAATGGATAATGTGTGAACTGACCTGTGCGGTTTAGGGATAGTGAATCTGCAGCCTTCTGAATGTTCAGTTATATCCACAAACATTCTTATAAATCATTTTACTTTTATTTACATAAATCCCTTTGCATTAGGCACATTCACACATTTCATTGAACCACTAACAGGACAGTTGCTAAACTTTTTCCCTCCCCCACCCCAGAAAGCTAAGAATATTGTGAAATGGGGAATAATGGGTATGGAATATGGTATTTTTATGCCCATTTCCCTCTATTATTCTTGCAATATTCCTGCTCGCTCTGACAAGGACATCAAGATGCTGCTTGTAATTCGCTTCTTTTGTAGTGTTGCAATTTTCTGCATTCCTTTCTAAACCTGCCTCTAGAATTGTATTGAAATATATTGTCTTCCAAGAAAGCAATTCTTTCACCACACAAGTCTGGACTCTGTGAGCTGATCTGTAATACAGGGCATTAAGGAGGGGTTTGGGTTTTTTCCCCCCTCATAATTTTTATTAAACTTGTTTTAGATGAATATTTTAGATTTGTCCTGTGTATTTCTACAAAAGCATGACTTTATTTATCACCATAAATTTATCAAAGCACTTCACATTCAAGTAGGTCAGTAGTTAGCATAACTATAAACATGTACGCAGTGATACTCTCTCCTTTCAACTACTTTTTTTTTATAAAAAAGAACACTACAATCTTTCTATACATTCCCTGCGCCCTCTGCTTTTGTCTTCACAACCTCCCTGAGAGGTAGGCCATGTTTAGAGGACATCCCTGACTTGAGGTTGAATCCTGACAAGACAGAAGTACTGTTTTGGGGGGATGGGGTGGGCAGGTGTGGAGCACTCCCTGGTCCTGAATGGGGTAACTGTGCCCCTGAAGGACCAGGTGCGCAGCCTGGGGGTCATTCTGGACTCACAGCTGTCCGTGGAGGTGCAGGTCAATTCTGTGTCCAGGGCAGATGTCTACTAGCTCATCTGGCACGCAGGCTGAGACCCTACCTGCCCAGACTGTCTCGCCAGAGTGGTGCATGCTCTGGTTATCTCCCGCTTGGACTACTGCAATGTGCTCTACGTGGGGCTACCTTTGAAAGTGACCCGGAAACTGCAACTAGAAGGGTGACTGGAAGTGGCCACCAAGACCACATAACACCGGTCCTGAAAGACCTACATTGGCTCCCAGTACGTTTCCAAGCACAGTTTAAAGTGTTGGTGCTGACCTTTAGAGCCCTAAACGGCCTCGGCCCAGTATCCCTGAAGGAGCGTCTCCACCCCCATCATTCAGCCCAGACACTGAGGTCCAGCACCGAGGGCCTTCTGGTGGTTCCCTCACTGCAAGAAGTGAAGTTACAGGGAACCAGGCAGAGGGCCTTCTCGGTAGTGGCACCCTCCCTGTGGACTGCCCTCCCATAAGATGTCAAAGAAATAAGTAACTACAGTATCGAACTTTGAGAAGACACCTGAAGGCAGTCCTGTTAAGGGAAGTTTTTAATGTTTGATGTTCTATCGTGTTTTTAATATTCTGTTGGAAGCTGCCCAGAAAGGCTGGGGAAACCCAGCCAGATAGGCGTGTAATAAATGCAAATTTGCCCTTATTCCCTTATGGGGAACTCAAGAGCCCTTATAGAGTCTTTTGTAGGTTCTCCATCGGTCGGAGAAAATAACAGAGGCCAACCAGAGAATACTGAGAAGCAAAGCAGCTCGTAAGCCTGATCTTTATTGAACAGGGTGCCCCCCTCTCACATAGGAAAGGAGGAGGACCTAGAACCCAGATGTGTCCGCCCTTATGTAGACATTTTAAATTGCCTGCCCTGGAGTCCAAGACCACCCCCCAGAAGCATCATACATACATCACAGAAAGGGCGGACTAAAACAAAAATCTGAGTGCGTTTATTTTTCTCCTGTCTGGCAGATTACCTGTTAATGCTCACTTGATTGGATACCCTGGGGAGCCTGGCCAGTCTTTTGTAATGATAAATACTTAGTTCCTGAGCCAGGTCACAGGCTCACCCTATTCATACACAGATATACCCTTAAGACAGGATTTGTGAATGAAAAGGCAACGGGGAGGCTTTTCCATTTCCTTCAACCTTGCAGAGAAAACATTCGGTAAGTTTGAGAGTCAAAATGGTTCCAGGGCTGTTTTCCTGTGTTGCTTTGTGGCAGAGCAACGATTTGAACCAGGGCTCACCCCAATACCCCTTCTGCTCTATTTGAAGTTGGAACTGGGGTAATGTAGAACAGATGCTACTCCTGTTTCTCCTCCGTATTCAAAAGCGAGTTCACAAGGGCATGTTTAGTGCTAGGTGACCCACTAATGAGCCCCTATATCCCCTCTAACCAAGCAGGTACTCGCCTGCATTTGACACCGGGGACAACTTTTCACCAGCGAGTAAAGCGCGGCCACAACAATCGATCACGCACACGTGTGTGCACAAACACACGTGCACACGTGCCCGCATCTCCGCATCTTCCCCACCCTTGCAAATTTTAGCCCTGTCAGGTTGTTAACAGGACACCCTGCAGGCGATCCTCCTCTGCTCGCCAAAAACAGGACCCTCTTTGTCCTCCTCCACGTTATGGAGTAGAATCCAGGTGAATCAGCTTCTAAGTGAGGGCAAGAGAAGGGGGCGCGAGAAGGGCGGGGAAAGGCTTCGGTTGCTGCTACTGAGCATGCGCACAGTCTCTTTGAGCATGCGCAGTGGCATTTGGTCTTTGCATAGGTAAATCCGCGCGCGCCTGAAGGACTTGCTTCCTCTGCGTTGCAAAACGCTTCGCTCTCTTTGTCGTCGGGGCTGCTTCTTGGCGGGCAGAGGTAGGCGTCTGCTGGTACTGTATAGGAAAGGGGAATGGGTGTGTGTGTGTGCTGAGGTTTGCTGATTTTGCTAGGGAGCCAATTCCTTGCTTGGATTGGGCCTCAGAGACATTCCTGTCTGTCTTTCTATGCAAACTTCCCCCCCACTTTCTTAGTGAAAGTTTATTTTCTGGGTTCCTTCCATCGTCTCCTCCCTCTTTGCATTTCTTGTTGCGCTTGCTCCAGAGAAAACATGTGGCTGTAGTATAAATCTGCGTCCATAACTAATGCAATTAGTAACTTGGCAGAGTTTGCTACCCTGAAACTTAATTGGGGATATTAAGATGCCTCCAGTGGCACAATGGGGTCCGTGTGTCTGGCTGTTAACCAAGAGGATTTGTGGGGTGGACTAGAGGACCCTATGGGTCCCCCTTCCAGCTCTAGAATTCTATGGTTCTCTAAGGGCTCCGTTTGTTCCTAGGAGTCTGCTCTAGAATGCCATGCCATAACCCTATATCTTCCACCTGCTCAAATTATATTTAGATTGTAAAGAGTTAGGGCAAGGTTCTACAGGAGCTTCTGCAGATGATAAGAGATCTTCTGGTGTTTGGAGGTGGGTGAAGGGTGTTGTAAACAAAAATCTGCCCTTTTTCCCTTATGGGGTATCCAAGAGCCCATATAGAGTCCTTATGTAGGTTCCCTATTGGTAGGAGAAAATAACAGAGGCCAACCAGAGAATATTGAGAAGCAAAGCAGCTAGTAAGCCTGATCTTTATTGATCTGTTGCAACAGGGTCCTCACTCACCACACGCAGGAGGGAGGAGGAACCCAGAACAAGCCCGTATATAGACTTTTGAAATTGCCACCCTGTAGATCAAGACCACCCCCAGATACATCATACCTACATCACAGAAGGGGTGGTTTACAGCAGAAATCTTGAGTGAGTTGTTTACCTCCTGTCTGCCAGGTTACCTGTTAATGGTTACTTGATTGGATACCCTGGGGAGCCTGGCCAGTCTTTTGTAATGATAAATACTTAGTTCCTGGGCCAGGTCACAGGCTCACACCCTATTCATATCTTAAATGTGCCCTTAAGACAGGATTTGTGAGGAAAGAGACAATGGGGAGGTTTCCCACTTTGACCTTGCAGAGAAATAATTGAAGTCAGTTTGGGAATCAAAAATGGTTTCAGGTCGGTCTTCCTGTGCTGATCTATGTACGTGCTTGGTTGGTACACTTATGAACATTTAACATATATCTAAGACCTCAAAATTCCTATCACAAGGGCTACTTGAAGGCTTTGCAATACTGTATAGATAGAAGGAAGAGACAGACGGACGGGGGGGGGGTTAGGGGCCCAGCCATAAGAGAGAGAGAGAGAAAAAGGGTCACAATGTTTTCTGAATTAACTTTCTTCCTCCCGCAGGAGGTGCATAGTTCCCAGAGTCTTCTGCTGCATTGGCTTGACAAAGAATGGCTGCTGCGGTGGAGACAAACCAGGTGCGAGAATTGTTTGAGATAGCTGACGATGAGTCTCATAGCAAGTTGGAAAGTGGAAACAGCACTCATCTCGGGGGCCCTCCAGAAATCCTTTTTATTCTGTGTGCATTCTGTACCACTGTACAGCATTAAATACAGTGGTACCTCGGGTTAAGTACTTAATTCGTTCCGGAGGTCCGTACTTAACCTGAAACTATACTTAACTTGAAGCACCACTTTAGCTAACGGGGCCTCCCGCTGCCGCTGCGCCGCTGGAGCCCGATTTCTGTTCTCATCCTGAAGCACTATTTCTGGGTTAGCGGAGTCTGTAACCTGAAGCGTATGTAACCCAGGTACCATTGTATTAAAAACTTGCCTAAACAGAGCTACCTTCAGATGTCTTTTAAAGAGAAGATAGCTGCTTATTTCCTTCACATCTGAAGGGAGGGCGTTCCACAGGGCGGGCGCCACTACCGAGAAGGCCCTCTGCCTGGTTCCCTGTAACCTCACTTCTCACAATGAGGGAACTGCCAGAAGGCCCTCGGCGCTGGACCTCAGTGTCCGGGCTGAACGATGGGGGTGGAGACGCTCCTTCAGGTATACAGGACCGAGGCTGTTTAGGGCTTTAAAGGTCAGCACCAACACCAATGGGCAGACAAGTGGGAGGCCGGGCAGTGAGGCTGGTGCAAGGCCTGCTTGGGTGCCTTTCCACCATGCAGGTATGGCAGTGCCCACTGCTGCCTCCCAAGGTAAGGCGCTGGCTTCATGTTCACCTTTGGCCAGTCTCCACTGGGCCATTAAAGCTGGGGGCATCCTCTTCCCAGGCCCCTGTGGGGCAGTGTGAGGAGGCACCTCTCTTTGGGGCAGGGGGGCAGATCAGAGACCAGGGGCAGTAGCAGCAGTTGCCCAGAGGACTCCCAAGGAGAGGGGAGAGGAGGCTGGGGGAATACCTCACAAGGGAGTGTGTTCAAAAAAGGGTGAGAGGCTGCCAGCTCGGCAGACAAGTGGTGACGTAACTGGGCTCCTGAGCCCCACAGGGGTGCCGCAGAAAGAATGTAGTCGGTTAAGGAAGCCGTGGACTCAAAAATGTTGAAAACCTTTAGACTAATGGTATATATTGCAACCATTAAGCTCATTACGGGCAATATAATTAAATGCCTGGGACACTATTGTGCTTGAGTCATTTGTCACCCCATCTGGGTGATTCTGCTGGCTGGCGCTGCATTTTTTTTACTGTGCTGTTGGGCGATGGATTTGTGGTGGTTTCAAATGCCACAAATATCTGACGACTACAACAACAACCTTATGAGGTAGGCTAGGCTGAGATACAGTGACATACTGAGGTCACCCAGTGAGCTTCATGGCTGAGTGGGGATTCGAACCCTGATCTCCCTGGTCCTAGTTCAGCGTTCTAACCATGATGTCACAACTGGCTCTCAGATCAGTTGCAGGGAACCTTTGGCCTTCTAGAGCAGGGGTCAGCAAACTTTTTCAGCAGGGGGCCGCTCCACTGTCCCTCAGAACTTGTGGGGGGCCGGACTATATTTTTTTTGGGGGGGGGGGAATGAATGAATTCCTATGCCCCACAAATTACCCAGAGATGCATTTTAAATAAAAGCACACATTCTACTCATGTAAAAACACCAGGCAGGTTCCACAAATAACCCAGAGATGCATTTTAGAGAAAAGGACACACTCTACTCATGTAAAAACACGCTGATTCCCGGACCATCTGCAGGCTGGATTTAGAAGGCGATTGGGCCAGATCCGGCCCCCAGGCCTTAGTTTGCCTACCCGTGTTCTAGAGGTTGCTGAAATGGTGATGAAACTACAGAAAATCCATTGCACATCTCCCAGCTTTTAAGTGTGGCCCCAGACCGGTGGTTGTTTTAAAAGTTTCCCTCTTCTTTTAGGAGCCTGTGGCTTTTGAGGATGTGGCCGTGTATTTCACAAAAGCAGAGTGGGCTCTGCTGGACCCAACGCAAAGAGCCACCTACAGGGACGTCATGCTGAAGAACTATGAGAATGTGGCTTCCGTGGGTGAGCATCCCTTAGGTGAAACAATAGATCCGGCCACAGAGACCTGCCCTCCCTTTCTGCTTAAAAACAACAACACTTGAGGCCAGCGGCGTAGCGTGGGTTATCAGCACCCGGGGCAAGGCAAGTAATTTGCGCCCCCTAACCCGGGGCAAGGCAATTAATTTGCGCCCCCTAACCCGGGGCAAGGCAAGTACAGTAATTTACTCTCCCAAGCAGCAGCAGCGAGGCTTCTCTTTCCCCCGCGCTCTCCTGGAGCTGCCTCTTTTCTTTCCTTTTTTCCCTTTCTCCAAGGCTTTTCGCTTTCTCTCCTAAATTGATTCCTCCTCCACACCGCGGCGTTTCCTGGCTGCTCCCCCCCCCCTCTCCTCCTCGCTCTGCTTGCCTTTCCCTGCCCTGCCTGAGGGCGCCCTGAGGAGACTCCGCTCTCCTTTTTGACCAGGCGAGGTGGAAAAAAGGGGGGAAAGTCTCTTCCCGCCCCCTCGCCAGACTCCCTGCTCGGCTCGGCTCACTACCCAGGCGGCCAGTGGAGAGAGTCTTGAGCCGCTTAATTCCCAGCAAGGAATTAGCAGGCCTCGCTCCTCTCCTCCTCCTCCCGACTTTGCTGCTGCTGCTGCTTGCTGGCGGCTTTTTTTCCTCTAACGACGGGCAAGCTGTGCTTGGAGAGGTTCCCGCTTCCTCGAGGGGGCCGGCCAAACGTGCCCCAAAATGTTGCGCCCGGTGCGGCGGCACTCCTGGCACCCCCTACGCACGCCACTGCTTGAGGCTGCGTGAGGAGGGCAGTGTGTTGCATGTGCTACCATTGGATGATTGTGATATGCTCTGCAGGTGGCTGCATTTGAAAAACTTCTGGAAACTATAGCTGGTCCAGGATGTGGACTCCTATACTTGACCCTTGCCTTGCAACAGCTGGCAAGGGTGGGCTGGTTGGTTCTCGGGGGTTATAAAATGCCTCTTCGCAGCAATAGGTGACCCCATGCGCACATTAGGAGGCAGATGCGTCACAACACTTGCAAATGGTGCATTTGTGCAGCGTGGGTTACCCATGATCTGTGGAGGTCTCCGTAACGGAGCCATAGGATTGAACCCTGCATGGGCCTGATGCTTTAAACAATAACATCATCATCAATAGTAATAATTATTACATTTATTTCCTGCCTTTCCCACCGAAGGATCCCAGGGTGGCAGGCACAAAAATCATAAGAAATGTGAACATCTAAACATAATTCCAATACACAGATGCAGACTGGGAAATATATCTGCAGTCGTACATTGAATCCCAAACGCCTTGCAAGTCGAACATTTTGGCTCCCAAACGTCGCAAACCCGGAAGTGACTGTTTTGGTTTGCAAACGTTCTTTGGAACCTGAGCATTGGATGGGGTTCCGCGGCTTCTGATTGGCTGCAGGAGCTTCCTGCAGCCAATCGGAAGCCGCACTTCGGTTTCCAAAGGTTTTGGAAGTCGAACGGACTTCCAGAACGGATTCCGTTTGACTTACTGAAAAGGCTTGTGGGAAGAGTAAGTTCTTCAGTAGGGTGCCAAGAAGACAACAGCCCCTGTTTACCATTTAACAGGAGGGAATTTCAAAGGGTAATAATAATAATAGTACCCTCCCCATCTGACTGTGCTGCCTCAGCCACTCTGGGAGGCTTCCAACAGAAACATAATTATCAAACATTAAAACCTTCTGATATAGGGCTGCCTTCAGATGTCTTCTAAAAGTTGTATGAATACTTATCTCCTTGACATCTGATGGGAGGGTGTTCCACAGGGCGGGCGCCACTTCTGAGAAGGCCCTCTGCCTGGTTCCCTGTAACTTCACTTCTCACAGTGGGGGAACCACTAGAAGGCCCTCAGAGCTGGACCTCCGCGTCTGGGCTGAACATTGGGCAAGTGCCACCACACTAAAGGTCTAATTCCTACATCTTATCTCCTGATAAGATGGTATCTGCAGGAAGCTCTCGACCATTTTAAAGTGGTTTGAACTCACCCTGGGACCTTGTGGTGAAGGCTAAGAAATCTAACTAACAAGAGGAGTTCTTTTTTTCTGGTAACATACCAAAACAGGCTATGTTTCCCCCCCACACTCTTGTTTTTTCTTCCTCTCATGAGCAGCACTCCACCCTTCGAAACCAGACCTGATCTCCGCCCTGGAGCGATGGGAAATGCTGTGGGCACCTGATCAGCAGGAACACAAGGAGCATGAGATCCCGCCAGGCAGTAGCTCAGGTGAGCCATTTCGAAACAGAGGCTGGCAAGGAGCCATTCGGAGCTGGGCCAATCGCAATGCCATGCTAGATCTTTATGCAAGCCTTCAGGCTGCTTTGTGTTCATTTTGCACAACGTTCCCCTCATCGGGAGGGAAAGAATGCTAAAAGTCCAGTGCTCCTGTTTGTCATTGAAATTCTACTCAATATTTATCCAGAGCAGATTCCAGCATATAGTAGTTAGCAGAGTAAAAACTTAAACACATTGCAGGATTCCCAAAAAACAGAAGAAGAGGCAATTGTATTTCATCCTTCAGAGCTTTATTGCTACTGAAAGCAAATGAGCACAATGGGCACAAATCCAATACATTCAGGATTGGCACCGTTCGTAAGAAATCCAGTTGCAGCAGACTTAACTTAAACTTACAATAACCTATAATAAGACTAAACCAGGGGTCTGCAACCTGCGGCTCCGGAGCCGCATGTGGCTCTTTTACACCTTTGCCGCGGCTCCGGGGCGGATACTAGCGAGGGGAGGAGGCGCATTGTGCGTCCCGACACTCCCCACTGTGGCGGGCGCTGTACTGGCTGTGACGTCACATGGGGGCGGTGCGTGCGTTAGTCCCGACGTCACCTGCCCGCCCGCCCGCCCGCTACATTGTAAGGGGCATGTACGCTGGTCACTGCATTGAAAGGGGGCATGTACGCTGGTCACTGTTTTAAAGGGGAGTGAAGAACACACACACACAAAAAAGGTAACTTGTTAATGTAACGTTTATTTCTATGAGGAAGAGTAATTCTGAGGGGTCAAACAAAGAAATAATTTTAAAAAGTGACAAAAAAGTTATTTTTATAATGACGAGTTTTGCGGCTCCCAGATTTTTTTTCTTCGGAAACGGGTCCAAGTGGCTCTTTTTGTCTTAAAGGTTGCAGACCCCTGGACTAAACCTTAACACTATCTATATACAGAACACCACACCAGAAGGAAAAGAGATAGAAAGAGAAAGTGAAACCCAGGCTCCTTCTGACTTTACTATTACAGTGGTACCTCGGATTAAGTACTTCATTCGTTCCGGAGGTCCGTTCTTAACCTGAAACTGTTCTTAACCTGAAGCACCACTTTAGCTCGTGGGCCCTCCCACTGCTGCTGCGCCGCCAGAGCACAATTTCTGTTCTCATCCTGAAGTTCTTAACCCAAGGTACTATTTCTGGGTTAGCGGAGTCAGTAACCTGAAGCGAATGTAACCCGAGGTACCACTGCATAGTCAGCGTGACCTTGGCAGAAGAGATATGAGAACCAGTTTAAGCCAACTGCACTCAGCTTCTCGGAAGGAATAACCCAAACATCATGGACCACCTGCTTGTTTCTTTCACACAGAGCAGCTTGCAGAATTAAGTATAATAGGAAAGATCTCTACACATCAGATCAATACTTTCTGCACTAAGAAATGCAAACTGACACTTTTAGCATTCCGGCTCTATCCGGAATAGATTTTGGTCAGGGGCCCTACATGCTGCTGTTTCTAAAGGCTGTTTAGAAACTTCTGCTTTAATAATAATAATAATAATAATAATAATAATAATAATAACAACAACAGTAATAATAGTAATAATAATTGTTATTTTAACACACTTGGTTTGGGGCCCCCCAAATGTGGCCTGGCAGCATCAGGTGGGGAAGCAAATCAGGTCTGGAGATAATTACCGTATTTTTTGCTCCAGAAGACTCACTTTTTCCCTCCTAAAAGTAAGGGGAAATGTCTGCCCGTCTTATGGAGCGAATGCAGGCTGCACAGCTATCCCAGAAGCCAGAACAGCAAGAGGGATTGCTGCTTTCACTGCGCAGCGATCCTCTTGCTGTTCTGGCTTCTGAGATTCAGAATATTTTTTTTTCCTTGTTTTCCTCCTCCAAAAACTAGGTGCGCCTTGTGGTCTGGTGCGTCTTATAGAGTGAAAAATACGGTAGTCCCTTGGAATGAAGATTGCTCCAAGTCCCATGTGAGAACAGGGCATCTGGGCTGTGTATATCACCTCTACCCTCATAGCATCTTCACATCAACCCTGTGATGTAGGCAAGGATGCCAGAAGCGATTAGGTTCACAGTTTGCCCCCTTTCTGCTTTCCCCCACCATGCATGAATCTTAGGTTAGCTGTGAGTAGCCCATGACTCCCAAGAAGCTTCCTTGATTTTTCCCTGCTCCTCCTACAGTGTTCGTAGCTCCTTTCAGAATACACATTGACAGTTTTCTGTCTCATTCCAACAGGAGATGAGCAGGTGAGTGAGAATACGAAGAAACCTATTCAGCCGGAAAGTTTCGCCCTGGGGAAGCAAGAAGAGATACAAAGGGCTGAAGAGAGCCAGAGAAATGGGGAGAGCTCTCAGACCTGCCACAGAGCTGGGCCGGCCTCAGAGAAAGCGTCTTGGAAATCGAAAGGCCAAAGCCGTTCCTGCTCGGAAGAGCAAAGAGCAAACACAAATCAAGAACCGACCAAAGAAAATCTCTCCCCCTAAAGCCCCAAACAGAAGACGTGGAGTAGCAAATTCGGAAAAGTGCCCTGTCTGTGGGAAAACCTTTTGTAACAACACGTACCTTGTTATACATCAGCGGTCCCACACGGGAGAAAAGCCATACAAGTGCTCGGATTGCGGGAGGATGTTCAGTTCGCCGTCAAACCTTCGCTCACACGAGAAAATCCACACGGGGGAGAAGCCTCACTCATGCGCAGATTGCGGGAAAGGTTTCATACACAAACGAAGCCTTCGTCAACACAGACGCGTCCACACCAGAGAGAAGCCACACGGGTGTTCCTACTGCGGGAAGAAATTTAGCAGCAAAGCACACGTTGCTAGACATGAATACATCCACAAAGATGAGCGGCCGTTCCAATGCTCAGAGTGTGGGAAAGGATTCAGAGCGAAAGAGCACCTTATAGTTCACCAGAGGACACACACAGGAGAGCAACCCTACAAATGCTTGGACTGCGGCAGGAGCTTCAATTGTTTTTCTAACTATACCAGGCACAAGAAAACTCACGGAGGAGAGAAACCGCATAATTGCTCAGATTGCGGGAAAAGCTTCCGAAATCGTTCAGATCTTAAATCGCACAGGAGAATCCACACTGGCGAGAAACCTTATCAGTGCTCATTCTGTAGGAAAAGCTTTCGTTGCTGTTCGTCCCTCGTGAGTCATGAGAGAACCCACAGAGCGGAAAAATCATTTCCGTGCCCCGAATGCGGCAAACGTTTAAGTCAGAAATCGTGCCTTGCTAAGCATTTGAGAATGCATAAGAATAAATGCTCAGACTGTGGGAGACTCTTCAGCAAAAGTTCAGCCCTTCAACATCACCACAGGAAAAGACATTCAGGTAAGAAGCCGTACAGATGTTTGCGCTGTGGGAAGAGCTATGACCGCAGGTCAAGGCTGGTGATTCATGAGAGGATTCACACAGGAGACAGACCTTACGTTTGCTTAGAGTGCGGGAAAGCCTTTATTGAGAAAAGTAAACTTGAGCGACACGAGCGAATACACACAGGAGAGAAACCATATGAATGCCCCCACTGTGAGAAGAGCTTCAACGACAGAGGAAACCTTCTTCAACATGTGAGAATCCACGCGAGGAAGAAGCCCTACAGAAGAGGTTCCCGCAAGATCACACGTCGTTGAGCACCAGAGATCTCATCCAGGAGATACCGTACTTCCCATGACTGTTCAGGATGTGGGAGAAGCTTTTTCGCCATATTTCATGCCGCCTTAAACATTCAAGAACAACTGCAAATACGTTTTGATGGATATAATCGTGAAAAACTGACTGGTATCGTTTTTTTAAAAATATGCAGGGATATAAGATATGCAAAATGAACCATGGAAAGAGAAGAAAGGAAGACATTGCTATCTTAAGTATGTAAAATGTTTATTTGAGATTGTAAAACAAAAAATTTAATAAAAATCATATTTAAAAAGAGAGAGTTTAACCCTTTCTCTCCTGTAGGACTGCCATATGTCTGGATTTTCCTGGACGTGGGGGGTGGGGGTGGGGATTTCCGAAAGGCGTGCTTTGTCCAAGGTTTGATGGCTCATAACGCCTGATTGGCTTTCTCAACACTCTTGCTCATTGGCTACATTCAAATGAAGGAAAGCTACTGCATATCAACCTAAGCAAGTTGTGTTTCCTTTTTCTGGTTATTTGGCTATAACTATTGATCAAGGTAAAGGACCCCTGACAGTTAAGTCCAGCCGCAGACGACTCTGGGGTTGCGGCACTCATTTTGCTTTACAGGCTGAGGGGGCCGACGTTTGTCCACAGACAGTTTTTCTGGGTCATGTGGCTAGCATGACTAAGCCACTTATGGCGCAACTGAACACTGAAACCAGACCCGTGCACGGAAACGCTGTTTACCTTCCCGCTGGAGCGGTACCTATTTATCTACTTGCAGTGGCATGCTTTCAAACTGCTAGGTTGGCAGGAGCAGGGACCGAGCAACGGGAGCTCACCCCGTTGCGGGGATTTGAACCGCCGACCTTCTGATCAGCAAACACAAGAGGCTCAGTGGTTTAGACCACAGTGACACCCGCGTCCCTTTTGATAGAATACGGAGTCTATCTTTTGATAGAATACAGATCATTGAACAAACTTTGTTGCATTACATGTCTTCATTAAATTATCTTTCCATTGATATATGATTTTATGGTAATACCCCCCAAAAAAGTGGTTTTATGAGCAATAAAACCTCAGAAATACATTTTTTCCAAAAGGTTTCCACTATTTTGACTAGTAGTGTATGCATGTGGTTCTCCTTTTCCTCATTTTATCTTCACAGCAACCATTTAAGGTAGGTTAAGGCTGGGTTTGCTCAAATCCACCCACTGAGCTTCATGTCTTTGCGGGGGTGGGGTGGGCTAGACCCCTGGCCTCCCAACATTTAGGCCAACACTCAAAACGCTGGAGAGATTTTTTAAGAAGTTCTTGTTTAGAAACCAGCAGATAAATCATAGAAAAATAGGGCAACTTTGTTATGTTTTGGTGTAATAAGACACAGGGATCTCCCTTTCTTTCCCTCTGTGTGTGTTTGTGTACGTACACACACATATAGACTCCCAATTCCCATCAGCCCCCAGTCAACATAAAAAGGGGCCTGGGGGTGATAGGAGTTGCAGTCCAGCAATAAATGGAGGGCTGCAATATAAACCAAGCCTGATGAGGAACGGTTGAAGGAGCTGGGTATGTTTAGCCTGGAAAAGAGGAGACTGGGAGGAGATAGGATATCCCTCTTCAAATAAATCAAGGGCTGTCCCATGGAGGAGGGAACAAGCTCGTACTCTCCTGCTCCGGAGGGTAGGACATGAACCAATGAAGATTCCTGCTAAACACCAGGAAGAACTTTCTAACAGTGAGAGCTGTTGTGGACTCCTTCCTTGGTGGCTTTTAAGCAGAGGTCAGATAGCCACCTGTCATGGATGCCTTAGCTGAGATTCTTGTATTGCGGGGGTTGGTCTAGAGGACCCTTGGGTTCCCTTCCAACTCTACAATTCTATGGTGCTTTTAAAAAAAAAAATCAATTGTGTATTATATAAAATACACATATAACTTCATATTTTTAAAAACCAGTTTTTATTGGATCTTTTAACAAACAGCAACAATGATTGGGGTTAAGCCTGCCTGTAGCCCATACAGTCAATGTCCACCTCAGTTTGACACTGCAAAAAGATGACAATATCCAAGCTTACAGGTGTATTTCTCCAAAAAAGGTCAGCTTTTTAAATAAAAATATGATTTTATTTTGTTGTTGTTTAGTCGTGTCCGACTCTTCATGACCCCATGGACGAGAGCATGCCAGGTACTCCTGTCTTCATGATTTTATTAAAACTCATGCAGAGATGGATGGTCCAACAATACCACAACATAAAAGAAACTAAACAAAAATGAAGAAAGAGAAAAGAAAAACACCAAAGGAAAGCCAAAAAAGAAGAAGAAGAAAAGGGGGAGGGAATAGAAGAGAAGAAAAATTAAAAGGAATTTATTTATGACAGTTTACACACACACACACGCCATAGGGAGCCGCACTCAAACATTCCCAGCTTTTGCCATCTCCTTTAGCCCATATGCCAGCCTTTCTCAACCTGTGGGTCCCCAGATGTTGTTGAACTACAACTCCCATCGCCCCTAGCTAGCAAGGCCAGAGCTCCAACAACATCTGGGGACTCACAAGTTGAGAACCACTGCTATGCAATTGGAGTTTTATCTGCCATCCCTTGCAGCGATTGAAGGGGCGAGGACCCCCTTGGTTGAACAAAGCGGCAACAATCCAGAAAACTACAACGCCCACAAGCCTTTGCGTTTTGGAAAGGCGAAAGCCGGACCCCCAGCTCCCCGCCGTGCTAGAGCTTTCTTGCCTTCTGCCTCCCTGTCGTAAGAAGGGGGTGGGTGGTGGGCGCAGGGGTCGCGCGCGCGGTTTAATGGGTCTTGAAGGAGGCGCGGTGGGCGGCTGGTCTTGCAAGGGGGAGAAAAATGCAACCCGGGCTGCGCGCGTCTGACAGCCAGAAGTGGTGCATTCCTTTGTTTTCGCTTTGCACGCTTCGTTGCAGAGGGGAGGAAAGGTGTGCTTTGCATTTTGGCAGCGGGAGAAAGCCGGGTGTCAAATGAGAGAGGGCCGTTCTGGTGACTGATTTAGGCTGCTTTTTTAAAATTCTGGTTTTTCACTACCAATTCCCAAAGTCAGGGTATAATTAAAAGATCTCGGCGGTACAAATGTAAAAGGAAAGATTAATAGAATCTTGAGAGTTGGTACCCCAGGGTCATCTAGTCCAACCCCCTGAAATGCAGGAATCTCAGCTGGATTCAGCCTTCGCCATGCTCCGGCAGCAGTCCAGCGCCTTCCTTTTGGAGCTGCTTTTGAATCCCAGCAATTCTATGAATGGAATGAATGAATGAATTTTATTATTACGGTCACAGACCAGTTCCGGCTCACTTAGAATATCAGGAAAATCATAAAACACAACAGGAATACATTGAATTGCAACTGGGTATAACAGAGACAATTCAGATATAGCCGCAGTTAAAAATATACAGTGTTACCTCAGGTTACATACACTTCAGGTTACATACGCTTCAGGTTACAGACTCCGCTAACCCAGAAATAGTGCTTCAGGTTAAGAACTTTGCTTCAGGATGAGAACAGAAATCGTGCTCTGGCGGCGCGGCGGCAGCAGGAGGCCCCATTAGCTAAAATGGTGCTTCAGGTTAAGAACAGTTTCAGGTTAAGAACGGACCTCCAGAACAAATTAAGTACTTAACCTGAGGCACAGGGGCGCTGACTTATAAAAAATATTGGGGGGGCCCATACCGGGGTCCTGCCGCTGGTTCGCTCGGGTAGCCGGGAGAACGCAGTTCGAGGTGGCGGTGTTGGGGAGAGACCCTCGCTCAGGGCGCCACGAGACTTGGCGGCCAGCGGCCTATCTGGGGGGTTTTGGAGCGTATTTCGGCGGAGCGATTGGGGAGGAGGGGGCTTGTTGCCGGATTCTTCAGCTGGGCTGGAGATCCGCTGCTGGGGGGTCCCTGGGCCGAGTTGTGAGCACGGCCTGCTGAAGGGAGATCCAGCCGATTGCGCGACGGGGACGGCCGGGGCTCTCCGGCTAGGGCGCGCGGCTGGCTGGCTGGCGAGGGAGCAGGTGGGTAGGAGGCGGGGGTCCTGATACAGTCGGGGGCGGAGGCAGACGGGGCCCGAGGGGCGAAGAGGGCAGGCGGGGCACGGGGCGCTTGCTCAGGAGCTCAGCTAACCTGTCCCAAGAGACATAGCCTAAGTACTCCTTCCTTCCTTCCTTCCTTCCTGTTTTTTTCCCTCCCTCTTTCCACTGCTCCCCTCTTTCTTTCTTTCTTTCTTTCTTTCTTTCTTTCCTTCCTTCCTTCGTCTCATTCCTTCTTATTTCATTCATTTTCTTCCTTTCCTCCAACCCTTCGATGCTCCTTCCTCCCTCCCTTCCTATTTCATTCCTTTCTTTCCTTTCCTGCAACCCTTCCCTGCTTTTTCTTTCCTTCCTTCCTTCCTTCGTCTAATTGCTTCTTATTTCATTCATTTTCTTTCTTCCTTCCTTCCTTCCTTCCTTCCTTCCTTCCTTCCTTCCTTCCTTCCTTCCGTCTCATTGCTTCTTATTTCCTTCCTTTCCCCCTCTCTTTCCTTCCTTCCTTCCTACCTTCCTTCCTTCCTTCCTTTTCCACCCCCTCCCTCAATCTCACCCTCCCTCCCTCCCTTCCTTTTTCCTTCCTTTCTTTGCTCCAACCCTTTCCTTCCTTCCTTTCTTCTCGTTGCTTCCTGTTTCATTCATTTCTTTCCTTTCCTCCAACCCTTCCTTCCTTCCTTCCCCCACCCCTCCTCCCTCCCCCTCTCTCAATCTCACCCCTATCCCTCCCTCCTTCCTTCTCGCCTTCCCCTTCCCCACAGATTCACACTCTCCCCCCTCACCGCCCGCCCTACAGCCCAGCTGAAACTCTCGCTCACCCTCCAGCCGCAATTGATTTTATATCGCTATTCTCCCTTACTCCCCGCTGCTGCCTCTCCCCTCGCCCCCCGCTTCCCCCCCCCCGCCCACCTCCCAGCACTTGCCTTTCCCTGTGGTGTGTGTGTGGGAGAGAGAGAGAAAGGGGGGCACACACCCTTGTCGATGCCTTCTACACACAGAGAGAAAGGCAGAAATCACATTCATAATAGGAACCAGAGAAGCCACACTGAGGCTGGGAGGTGGGCGCTCCTTAGGAGCACGCTGGGCAGGTTGTGTGTGTGTGTGTGTGTGTGTTTGGGGGTGGTGTCGGTGGAGGGGGGGCGGACAGACCGTAGCTGGGCGCCGTGACGTCAAGGCGAGAGGGAGGCTGAGCCGAGGAGCAGAGCCGCGCGATCGGCGGCGGCGCTCTGCTGGAGGGGCGCCCGAGATTATTGGGGGGGCAGAGCCCCCCCAAACGAATTTTTGAGGGGGCTCGGGCCCCCTCAGGCCCCATGGAGTCGGCGCCTATGCTGAGGTACCACTGTATATTAAATCTTGATCACTAAAATATAACCTAAAATTGTCATTTAAAACCTTAATTGTTTTGCTAATTCAGTGTCATTCCCTCACCTCAGTCTTTTCACGCCAGGTGATCTCAAACAGCCTCTCATTTATTTATTAGATTTCTACCCCAGCTTCCCCAAGGAGCTTTCGGCGACGGCATATGTGGTTTTCCCTCTACCCTGTTTTTATGCTCGCAACAGCCCTGTGAGGTAGACTGTGACTGGCCCAAGGTGGCGAGCTTCATAAATGAGTGGGAATTCGAACCCTGGTCTCCCAGGTCCTAGCGCAGCGCTCTAACCACTACACCACATTGCCTCTCGGATACAATCTGTTGCCGAAAATGTACCGGTATTTTACTGAAATGTTCTCCCTTTCGTTTTCTTTCCCCTCCTTGTCCCCCCCCCCCCCGTGCGGAAGGACTTTGCATAGAATGCCAACAAGGAATCAGTCCCTATTGCCCCTCCCTTCTAGGACAAAGAAAAGGGACACAGTGGAACCATTTCATGTAGGAAGTTACCAGGTAACAGCTGGAAGATTTGTTTATTTGAGAGCCAGTGTGGTGTAGTGGTTAAGAGCGGTAGTCTCGTAATCTGGTGAATTGAGTTTGCTTCCCCGCTCCTCCACATGCAGCTGCTGGGTGACCTTGGGCCAGTCACACTTCTCTGAAGTCTCTCAGCCCCACTCACCTCACAGAGTGTTTGTTGTGGGGGAGGAAGGGAAAGGAGATTGTTAGCCGCTTTGAGACTCCTGAACAGGAGTGAAAGGCGGGACATCAAATCCAAACTCTTCTTCTATTTCTTTACGTAATTAGCTTCACAAAATTTATATGCCTCTCAATTGTAATAAAACCTCAAAATGTTTTACAAAAAGAATAAAGCAATAAAATTATCATTAAAAAAAATCAAAAACTGTTTAAAACATTCAAAAAGTAATAAAAATCAATCATACGGCAAAAAACAGATTAAAACACGTGTCAAGCATTCTACATGTGTGGATAGGCTTGCCTAAACAAAAAATATTTTATAGTACAGTACACTGATTGTTGCTTTCATTTTATGGATCGATGGTCTCGTTAGATAGTAAAATTCATGTTAAATTGCTGTTTTAGGGGTTGTTTTTAAAAGTCAGGGATGGATTTATCCCTTTTGCATTACTTTCTATTGGAAAGTGTGCTTTGGTTTTGGAACGCTTTGGTTTTGGAACAGACTTCCAGATTGGATTAAGTTTGAGAACCAAGGTAACACTGTATAGTATGTTCTTGTCTCACATCTCAGGGTTCATGAAATGCTAGAAACTTGCTCTTTGCCTCACAACGAAAGTTGAGAATCAGGGAGTTGAGGTTTCGCTGCAGCATGTGGGGGACAAACCTGCCTCTCCCGGTATGCTCCACGGAGAGCCTCAAGGTCCATAAATAGCAACACCCTAGTGGTCTCGGGCCCTAAGGAAGTCAGATTAGCCTCAACCAGAGCCAGGGCCTTTTCAACACTGGCTCTGGCCTGGTGGAACACTCTGTCTCATGAGACCAGGGCCCTGCAGGATCTGATTTCTTTCCGCAGGGCCTGCAAGACAGAGTTGTTCCACCTGGCCTTTGGCTTGGAGCCAATTTGATTCCCTCCCCCTCTTTCTTTTTCCTTTCTCCTCCTGTGACGAGGCTGCATTTTAATATTTTAATGTTTCAGTATTTTAATTGTTATATTTTAATCTTGTTTTTAAGTTGTATTCGTTCAACTTGTTTTTATTATTGCTTGTTAGCCGCCCTGAGCCCGGCCTTGGCTGGGGAGGGTGGGGTATAAATAAAAATTATTATTATTATTAACTGGAGTGAGAACCATTGGGTGCTCAAGGGTCCTGCTATGCTTCCCCCACCCCACTCTTTCTCACTGACCTTAAACCCTTTCATTCTATGTACCTACACAGTTAGGTATTCTAATATTCTAATATTATTCCGTTTTCCCCTCCATTGGTTCACCCCTAGCTCTTCTGCATTTTTCCAATTGGAGTAACTGCAAAGAAAGCAGATGATAAGCATGGATGAATTTTTAAAAAAAGTGGCAATGACCAGGATGACAGTCTTTCCCAACCTGGTGCCCTCAGGCTAGTTTGGAGGACGCATCCCAACTTGCCCCCAGGCATCTCTTTTCAAAACCTCCTTCCCTCCTCCTTCATCCATGCGCTCAAACAGCCGATTGGTGAGGGCTTCGCCTTGCCCATCTTCTGGCTTGGCTTCAAGCACATGATGGGAAGCGGAAAGAAAAGGAAAACCCGCCTTTGGAAGCGGGAGGAGGGGTGGAAATAGCAACCCACAAAACCCAGCACAACAATAAGGGGGAAGTGAGCGAGGCTTCTTTGCGTGCCTCCAGCCACCCGCTCCTAAAAAAAAGCTCCATTTGCGCCCTCGTTCAATCCATAAGCTGCTTTGCCGGGCGCGCGCGCACTCCGGAGCTCCCTTAATTCGGATTAGTGGCCCCCGTCTGGACGCTGCTTGCCTCCCTTTGCGGGCTCCGCATTCCGAGCACGCAGCCGCGGTTCTTTCAAATGAATGCATGTGCGCACCACCTGGACGGCGGCGAGGATGGAGCCCGGTGCGTGCGCGCGCGCGCCGGAGATGCGTGTTAACTGATTGACGCGGGGTAGAAAGCACGTGTGATAGTCAAGAGTGTCAACGAGCTGCTGGTCGAGAAGAAGAAGAAATCTGCCCGAGAGGGGCGATCTTAAGGGCTGCTGTCTGAACAGGTAAGAAGAAAAGTTTCTAAGAGCGATGGAGGGGCGCCAGGTGCGATTCCCGGCATCTCCAGGTGAGGCTGCCGGCAGAGACACCTGCCTAAAACCTTGGAGTGCTGCTGCCAGCCCGTGTCGATTGGACCAATGATCTGATTCACTATAAGGCACATTCCTCGCTCTTGCATTTAAGAGATGCGTAAAGCTGGTAATTTTCCACAGGTGTAGCTTGCTAAAGGTGCAAGTCCCGTCCCCCACCATGTAGTTATATCAAAGGCAGATGGGCAACAAAGTTCAAAGCAACAGAAATTTATTGCAGGAGGCATGCATCAGTGTCCAGGTGCGACCTAGCTTTGTAAATAAGGCTACAAAAGTTGTTGTTTAGTCGTGTCCGACTCTTCGTGACCCCCTGGACCAGAGCATACCAGGCACTCCTGTTTTCCACTGCCTCCTGCAGTTTGGTCAAACTCATGCTGGTAGATTTGAGAACCCTATCCAACCATCTCGTCCTCTGTCGTCCCCTTCTCCTTGCGCCCTCCATCTTTCCCAACATCAGGGTCTTTTCCAGGGAGTCTTCTCTTCTCATGAGGTGGCCAAAGTATTGGAGCCTCAGCTTCAGGATCTGTCCTTCCAGTGAGCACTCAGGGCTGATTTCCTTAAGAATGGAGAGGTTTGATCTTCTTGCAGTCCATGGGACTCTCAAGAGTCTCCTCCAGCACCAGAATTCAAAAGCATCCAATTCTTCGGCGATCAGCCTTCTTTATCCTCCAGCTCTCACCTCCATACATCACTACTGGGAAAACCATGGCTTTAACTATACAGACCTTTGTTGGCAAGGTGATGTCTCTGCTTATTAAGATCAAAAGTTACCTGCCTTACAAAAACAAAAAGAAAAAACTAGCCTGTTATGAGGCTAACATCCTGTGTTTCTATGCCAGCTGCAATAGAAAAGGGAGTGGACCTTCCTTCATGTAAATTTTGTACTGATAAGACTGTGGTGCTGGTTTGCAATTATTTTTGTTAGGGTTTTTTAAAATTGGAGGCTGCGCTGAAAGAACCTTGGGGCCTGAAAAGCAACGTAAATATCTGTTAAATAAAACAATACATACTGTGGCACAGTCCTAAGCCTACTCACTACAATTGAATTCGGTGGGGCTTACTCCCAGGTACATGGGGTTCCTATTGCAGCCTCAGCCTCTATACAGGATATATTTAAAAAGCCTTCTACTAAAGAGATTGGAGAAGGAGGGATAGAGTTGCGGGATGGCTTCCCTTCTCTGCCACCCCACCCCCTCTCATGCTTGAAATTCCTGCTCTGGTATTAATATTAGCAAAACAAGAACAACAAACCTATGGTTACGTGAAACATACTCAATAAACACACAAGACGAAACCAGCTGTACTTTTGAATAAATAAGATCTACTGTTCATTGTATCAAATTGTAGATTTCAACAGAAGTCTCATAAGGTTCAACGAAAAAAGCAGAAGACCCGGTGGATCAGTTCATTCGCTAGTCAGTTCATGCCTAAGGTGTATAAGTGTCAATTCCACCTGTCTGTTCATAGAGTTGAATAATCCACATGAAGGGTTGTTACAGTTCCACAGAGTCTTCTGGAATATTAGCCTTGTTTTGCCATCCTAGGCTTCATCAGTAGAACAGGCTCTAGGTAATGCAAATAAATACAACATCGCAATCTCACACATTTTTACAGCAAAATTAATATAAAAAACCATAAACAACTGTACATACCATATGTAATATTACAGGATAGTCGATCTTATAGCAGCTAAAAGCTTCCAATGAACCCCCTCTATCCATTTTTTCTGCAAATTGAACTTAATGTGCCTCAGTCAGGTTGGTGATTTTAACATCAATAAAAATCAAGATGTTGATCAAGATGCTTCCTGCTGTCCCTTGTGGTTTAAATCAAGACAAAGGATTTTTTTAAACATTACACAGCATGTGTTAAGTACCTTACTAATACCAGCATGGGCTATCTGTGACTGTTCCTTGCAGATGGCTCCTTGGGCTTCTGAGACAACTTTATCAGATATATGAAGTGTCCCCCTGTCTGGTTAGGGTGCTGCATATACCCTAAATACAGAGAGAGGAAAGGACAAACAAAACCCTGTTTTGAGTACTTTGCAGTATTCCAACTCTTAAGGGATTACTGGGGGCTATGTGCAGAGGTAAAATGTTGGCTGGTGCAGTTTTAACCTGACCAGTGCAAACTCTATGCTCAAACCTACCCAGAACATTTCCAGATGGGCTAATATATATTATATTTTAACTTTGTTTTTCTCCACATGGGTGGTGTGACTCTGCTCTTCCCAGGGGAGCAAGTCAGTTTGCTGGATTCATATCCAAGAGCTGTATCGGGAGACACTATGCAGGCAGATGACGGTGGCGACGCCATCTTGTTGGGTAAGGATGCGTTCGATAGAGCCCCTGGCTTTCTTTATAATATTTGTCATCAGCTGCATGCTTGCTTGTGGTGTGAGTGGGTTTTCTGCTTGTATGTTTTTGTCCTTACGGTGTTTGCTTTTAAAACATTCAAATAGCCTGTGTAAACGAGCCAACGAAAGTTACTAGCCTGCCATTTATTTCATTTTCTGCTATCCTGTTTGAGAGATGGCGAAGGGCTCTGTCCCTCCAGACTTAAAAAGAGCGTTGCTGGATCTGGCCAGAGGCCTGCCATTTGTCCAGCATCCTGATCTCACAGTAGCCAACCAGATGCCTCTATGAAGCCCTCAAGCAAGACCCGAGTCTCTGCACTTAGCTACATTAATAAAGAAACAGTGATTTGAATGCACTATAAACATGCAACACCAGATGGTGCCAGAGAGCAGTAAATTTTAAAATGTGATTTTCCATAGAGATATTTTTTCTTTTGTTATAACAATCTAATTACTGACATTTATAGGTTTGTTTTCCTGTGTCTAAATCCATCCATCCATCCACCCTCCCTCCATCTCTCTCTCTCTCTCTCTCTCTCTCTCTCTCTCTCTCTCTCTCTCTCTCACACACACACACACACACACACACACACAGCTTCATGCTGCATTTCTGTGCAAGGCAAGGAAGTGGGGAAAGGGGCTTCCTCTCTCTGGTTTCCTGCTTGGCTACTATCCTGGGTGCAGAGGGTCATCTAGTCCAACCCCCTGCAATGCAGGAATCTCAACTAAAACTTCCATGACAGGTGTCTCCATCCAACCTCTGCTTAAAAACATCCAAGGAAGGAGAGTCCACCACCTCCTGAGACTGTTCCACAGTCGAACAGCTCTTAAAACGAAAACACAGTAAAGCTGTAGCATAAAAAATGAATTCAGGGAACTCGGGCAAATAAAAGCAGGTTTTGAGGAGTCAGTCGAGGAAAACAGGCTACTGACAGTGGCTGCTTCATGTCTAGCACAGGGAAGGGCATTCCATAGTCCTGGGGTAATAGCGGAAAATGCCCATTTTTGAGTCACCGTCTTATGATATTCTGTAGGGTGCAGTGCCACAGATGGAATGCCCAGACGATTGGAGTGGTCTTACAGGTCTAGGCAGGGGCCTGAAGAGGGCGGAGGAGAGGTTGGCTGCATGCAGGCGCAGTCTCTGATTGCTTGGGGAAAACACTAGAGAAGAGGAGACTTAGCTGTGGGGAGACGGGAGGGGTAGGGGTTCAGTCTCGGCAACAGATCCATGGGGGAAAGACCTACCAGGGATGGACTGCTGTGCTCACTAGGCCTGATGCACTGCCTGGTCTGTGCAGATCACTTTCTTACTAATAGTCATACCTCTTGTCACGTTTGCTTCAGGTTAAATTTTTTCAGGTTGTGTCCCACAGCAACCGGAAGTACTGGAAAGGCTTACTTCCAGGTTTTGCCGCTCGCGCATGCGCAGACGCTCAGAATGATGTCACGTGGGTTGCGTTCTGCTCATGTTGCGAACGGGGCTCCGGAATGGATCCCTTTCGCTACCAGAGGTACCACTGTAAAGAGTTAACGCTGAACTTGCAGGGTGTGATTTTACTGCCCACTTGCTCCTGACACCTGATGGCCCATTTCTCTGTTCCAGGCAGCGAGGAGCGCGGAAAGATCTACCCGGGAGAGACTCCACGCTACTGCCCCCTCTACGCCAAAAGCTTTGGCGGCTCGCCAAGCCGCGAGAGGCCCGTCGCGGGCGACAAATGCTACAAGTGCTCCGAGTGCGGGAAGGGCTTCAAGAAGCGGTCGGCCCTCCTGACCCACGACCGGACGCACACCGGGGAGAAGCCCTACGGCTGCGCCGAGTGCGGGAACAGCTTCAGCAACAAGTCCAGCCTGACGCGGCACAAGAGGAAGCACACGGGCGAGAAGCCCTTCGGCTGCCCCGACTGCGGCAAGAGGTTCAGCCAGAGCTCCAGCCTCATCCGCCACCTGAGGAACCACACGGGGCTCCGGCCTTACCGCTGCTCGGCGTGCGGCAAGAGCTTCAAGCAGAGCTCCAGTCTCCTGGTCCACAGAAGGACTCACACGGGGGAAACCCCCTACAGCTGCTCGGTCTGCGGCAAGCGCTTCTCGCAGAGCTCCAACCTGGTGAAGCACGAGAGGATCCACACCGGAGAGAAGCCCTACGGCTGCGCCGAGTGCGGCAACACCTTCAGCAACAAGTCCAGCCTCACCAGGCACAAGAGGAACCACACGGGGCAGAAGCCCTACAAGTGCCCCCAGTGCGGGAAGCGCTTCAAGCAGAGCTCGGGCCTGCTCAAGCACGAGCGAGCCCACGCGAGGAAGAGCCTCGCGAAACTCCCGGAGCCCAGCAAGCGCTTGGACGCCATGAGAGCCCACATCGGCGAGGCCTTGTGAAAACTCCTCGCTCCGTTGAGGAAAGGTTGAAAGGCATGAAGCCTGTTGGCGTTGAAACCGTGAGAAGTCAGGGATCGGGGGACTGCGGCCCTTCTGGAGTTCCTGGGCTGCAACGTCTGCCATCTCCAACTCTTTGGGGGTGGAAGAAGTTGGAGTTCAGCAACTTTTAGGAAAGTCACAGGTTTCCCCACTTCTGATACCACGAGTGCTCGGTTCAGGGTATACAAGGCCTGGAGCCTGACACCTAGCTAGATACTAGTCTAAAGTCCTCTGCTCTCACAGTCCATACAAGGCTGACAAAATGGCCGCCACTGCTGACAGGCTGTGGTTGGTCGGTTGGTGTGTGTCGTAGGCCTGGCGGCAAGGTTTTCTGATGTTTAGCTCTGTTTGTACATGGGAGGATTCCCTCCTGGGAGAAAACTTTTAAAACAAGGCAACTGCTCCTTACTCAACAGAGAATTTCCCAATGAGGACCTGGAGATGGGAGGCAGGAATCTGTTGCTGGAACCATCAGGCGATTTGAACCAGAGAATCATCAGCTTTTGTTATCTTCTATGTTCTTAGAGTAGCCTTGTAAATAAAAGCCACAGAAGTTACCTCAGGACTGGCCAAACCGTTAGGCAGCGTGAGGCGGCTGCCTCAGGCAACTAATTTTGGGTGTCATGAAAGTGTAGCAAATGGTTTTATGTTGTTGTCTTTTTACTCCCAGCCTGAGAGGCTGCCATTTGTTCCACCCTAAGCAGCCGAAATGGCTCAGGCGGGCCCTGATATGCCTACTTAAAAGCAAGTAGACTGCAAGTCTGTGCTGGCCATGGAGGAGGGAAGTGCAATAATAAGAAACTTAGGTTTCTTCCCTCCTCCATGGTCAACATAGAAACCTAAGTTTCTTATTATTGCACCAAAGTGGACTAGCAGAGAAGGTATGAATCGCTCTGTTCCTTTCTGTGGAGCAATCTGTCCCTTCTCCACTTTGCTTGTTTGCCTGCCTGGAATTCCCGCTCACCTGTGGCGAGCAGGTAAGCTCTTAAACACAAGGCTGCATCAGATGGAGTTGATCACTGCCATGTTAAAAGTATTCTTAGTTGCCTCGGTTAGAAATGCTAGCGGATGTCTTTGTTTATACATGTAAAGAATATTATTTGGTAAACAAAAAAGTCCTCCCCTGTTTATAGCAAATGGAAGACCTAAATTAACGCACACACTGGTATTTTCTTTCTATTTGTTTAAACACATTTAAGGTGGCAGTCCTATGCACATTTAACTTTCCACCCTCTGGACTTGCTCATGAGTAAGCATGCATCGACTCGGGCCTTTCAAGTCTATTTCTTAATCACGGTATGACACCCTTTTTAAAATTCTAGTGCTAGCCTTAATTTTTAAGCCTGAACTTTAATTTTTTCTGAGTAACCTTATCACTCTGTGGTTGTATCGGATGCCTCAGTAGATAAGAGGCTTTAATTTGGGTGTGGATGTTCTGGCTTCATGTCCTGCCCATATGTAGCCTTCCTGTCTTGTCCAAGTTAGCCTCATTTAACCCCCCCCCAAAAAAAACCTACCTCACAGGGTTGTTGTGAGGCTGAACATAAATAAAGACTGTACACCCTTCACTCCTGCAAGTTTTCTGTACTTTCCCTCCAGCCCCTAGCGTGCAACAATGACAGCAGCTTTTTAGATAAATATTGAGGTTTGAGGTCTGGTTCAAGCTGCTTCTCTTTGCTCGGTCCGATCCGCTTCCCATATCCCTTGACCGAAGCAAAGCCAGAGCTCCTTGCTTCAGTTGCATATGGAGCCAAGCCTGCCTAAGCGGAGGTCTGAAACTAAAAAATTGAGCAATTGCAGCTGGAAAATTGCACCCTTTTTGGAATTGTAAGGCTTCTTCAGGTGCATTGCTTTTAGGCACCCTCCTGTGCACCCAGATGAGGCTGAAAATGGCCAGAACGCCTTCACCCTTGCCCTGCCTTTGCAAATAGCCTCTGCCTCCTCTGCTCACTTTCTCAACCCAGAAAGGCACTTAATGAGTTAAGGGAACAGAGTGCTGCAACTGTTAGCATTCCTAGACAACTTGTATTGAGGACGCCAGCTACATTTCCCCCCTGTCGCGCCCCCTCCTGGCAAAGTGGGGCGATGGCAGCAGGGAAAAAAAGCAATTTAAGAAGGATACAGTGGTACCTCAGGTTAAGTACTTAATTCGTTCCGGAGATCCGTTCTTAACCTGAAACTGTTCTTAACCTGAAGCACCACTTTAGCTAATGGGGCCTCCTGCTGCCGCCACGCTGCTGGAGCATGATTTCTGTTCTCATCCTGAAGCAAAGTTCTTAACCTGAAGCACTATTTTTGGGTTAGCGGAGTCTGTAACCTGAAGCGTATGTAACCTGAGGTACCACTGTATTAAAAAGCTGGAACATGCGGAGGAGGGCGACCAAGATGATCAAGGGTCTAGAAACCAAATCTTATGAGAAATGGTTGATTGAGGGAGCTGGGTATGTTTAGCCTGGGAAAGAGGAAACTGAGAGGAGATAGGATATCCCTCTTCAAATATCTCAAGGGCTGCCACATGGAAGAGGGAACAAGCTTGTTCTCTCCTGCTCTGGAGGGTAGGACTTGAACCAGTGGCTTCAAGTTACAGGAGAGAAGATTCCCGCTAAACTTTGGGAAGGACTTTCTAACCATGAGAGCTATTTGACAGTGGAACGGTCTCCCTCCAGAGGTTATGGATTCTCCTTCCTAAGTAGAGGTCAGATAAGCCATGTCATGGATGCATGAGCTGAGATTCCTGTATTGTGGGGGTTGGTCTAGAGGACCCGTGGGGTCCCTTCCAATTCTACAATTCTATGGTGCTATTTTTTTTAAAAAAAATCAATTGTGTGTTATATAAAATACACATATAACTTCATATTTTTAAAAATCAGTTTTTATTGGATCTTTTAACAAACAGCAACAATGAGGTTAAGCCTGCCTGTAGCCCATACATCAGTTTGACACTGCAAAAAGACGACAATATCCAAGCTTACAGGTGTATTTCTCCAAAAAAGGTCACAATTCTATGATTCTATAATTCTATACTGGGCAGTGCAGATTTCCTGAAGTTGCAAAAGGGGGGCGGGATAAAGGAATAGGTTCGTGTTTGTAAATGAAGAGGGTCTGCGTTACATCGAATCAGACCACTGATCCACCCAGCCTAGTATTTCCTAGGGGTGGGGGACCTTCATGAGCCCAAACCCCACAGATTTCCTTGGGCAGAGGGGTTGGTTGCTAAATTACTCCAGAGAAAATTGTAACAGGAGACACCTGAAAACCCTCAGCACCCTTAAACAAACGACGGCCTCCGGGATGATCTGGCGGAAGCCATGGCTGTTTATTGTGACATAAGAGTGCTTTAAATGTACAGTACAGATGGGACCTTTGTTGGATATCGCCTGTACTCACTTCATAGGGTGCCTTTGAATGCAACAAAGTCTACAGCCTAATAAGCAATAGCTAGGACATGGCTGAAATACAACGTTTAATCTTTTTCATTCACGGATACAGTAATATACCAGAATCAAAACTGCTTCCAAAAAATTTCCAAGCACCTTTAGCAATTTGTATTTGCCTGATAAACACTGGCACCTGGTGATGAATGTAACTGAAGTTTAAGTTGGTCGAGTTTCCAGCTCAACCCCAAAAAAGCTCGCAAACTCTTGGTAGTCTGCACAATTTATTCCGCCTCTACTAAGCTGGTGGGAGAGACAAAGAGCTACTCAAGTCCCCGCACCAAATATTGGAGGGCCCTGAAATTTCACTCAGTGCAACCAACTTAGACTAATCCCAACCTCTGAAGGACTAGAAACTTGGTAAGCCTAAATTCTCTGGATGCCTACACCCAGTGTGGCCCAGCATATAACATTCTAACGCTCACCTGTTTTATGTTTAAAAGTGCTTCTTCTCACTGTGTGTGTTCCTCAGCAACATTTGGTTAATGTACAGTGGTACCTCTGATTAATAACTTAATTCATTCTGGAGGCCTGTTCTTAACCTGAAAACTGTTCTTAACCTGAGGTACCACTTTAGCCAATGGGGGCCTCCTGCTGCCGTCGCGCCACCAGAGCACGATTTCTGTTCTCATTCTGAAGCAAAGTTCTTAAGCCGAGGTACTATTTCTGGGTTAGTGGAGTCTGTAACCTGAAGCATCTGTAACCTGAGGTACTACTGTACTGAGTTGGTCCACTGCTCTGTAGATTCCTTCCTTGCCAGAAGCTGGAAGCAGGCTATGAAGAAAGGAGTTTGCCCCTATCCCACTCTCGAGGAGGAAAATGAAGTTTCTGGATTGGCTACACTAAGCTAGGTAAAGGTAAAGGGACCCCTGACCATTAGGTCCAGTCATGACCAACTCTGGGGTTGTGGCGCTCATCTCGCTTTATTGGCCGAGGGAGCCGAGGTACAGCTTCCGGGTCCTGTGGCCAGCATGACTAAGCCGCTTCTGGCGAACCAGAGCAGTGCACGGAAACGCTGTTTACCTTCCCGCCGGAGCGGTACCTATTTATCTACTTGCACTTTGACGTGCTTTTGAACTGCTAGGTTGGCAGGAGCAGGGACCGAGCAACGGGAGCTCACCCCGTCACGGGGATTCGAACTGCCGACCTTCTGATCGGCAAGTCCTAGGCACTTAAATCTGCGCTTTTAGTAGTCAAAGCACATCTCGGTCAACCTTACGATCCTGTGAGGTCAGTCGGTGTTATCGCCCTCTGCACTGAATGTGGCAGCAGAGGGCAGGTCGAGGATGAAGGAATAAATGGCTTGCCTCAGGCTGCTGAGTGAATCTGTGGCAGAGGCGAATGGGGGAATCTGTTGCGACAGCTGCTGTTTCTCAGACCAAACTACATCGCAGGACTGTTGCAAGGCTGAAATGGGAAGGGTGCAGAAGAGAGACATGACTCGCACCCAGAGCTCACCGGAAGAATGACAGGATAAGGAAAACGTAATTAAATGAAAATCCTACAGCTGCAATCCTCCGCTGCACTCAAAGGAAGGCTCGTGTGTGGTGAGGCTCTGGCAAGGACACAGTACAGGCTAGTCATATCACAAATAATTCTGGGAACTGTAGTTTGTTAAAGGTGTTGTTAGAAGGCCCTTCACAGAGCCACAGTTCTCAGAGTCCCGTGTGAAGAGGGATTATGAAACCATTCTGGGAATTGTAGCTCTGTGAGGGGGGAATAGGGGTCTCCTGACAACTTTCAATACCCAGAGAAAACCACAGCTCCCAGAATTCTTTGGAAGAAGCCATGACAGTTTAAAACACTATCAAAGCACCTTAAATGTGCTTTGGGGAAGAAAGAGACGCCCAAGATGCTTGTGGAGAAAAATAAGGAGAGGCCTTGTCTTGGCTGGATGCGTAAGGCCAGGCCGGTTTACTTTGCAGGGACGTGAAAACCTGCCTTATATCGAGTCAGAACATTTGTCCTTCTAGCTTAGTATTATTGACACTGATGCTCTCCAGGGTTTCAGATCCAATCCCCAGATAGGCCAAGGATTGAGCCCAAGACCTTCTGTGCCCAAGGGAGAGTTATGGCCTTTTCTAAAGAGAACACCTTGTTTTCCATGCGAATTGGTTGCAGAATTGCAGCTGCAACCACTACACTACACCACCAACTGAACACCTTGTGTGACGACAGCAGCCACAGTTTGAGCGACAAGTCTTAGGCCAAAGATCTGCAGGAATCTGTGTGAGATGCTGATCACATGAAGGAACGACGCCAGAATATAATACAGGGGTCAGCAAGCTTTTTCAGCAGGGGGCCAGTCCACTGTCCCTCAGACCTTGTGGGGGGCCAGACTATATTTTGAGGCGGGGGGGAAATGAATGAATTCCTATGCCCCACAAATAACCCAGAGATGCATTTTAAATAAAAGCACACATTCTACTCGTGTAAAAACACCAGGCAGACCCCAAAAATAACCCAGAGACACATTTTAAATAAAAGGACACATTCTACTCATGTAAAAGACACGCTGATTCCCAGACCATCCGTGGGCCGGATTTAGAAGGCGATTGGGCCGGATCCGTCCCCCGGGCCTTAGTTTGCCTACCCATGATATAATATGTTGAAGAGATGAGGAAGGGTAGATGTGGAACTGGGAAGGCTGGGCCTTAAGTTGTGAAGATGTGAACGGCAACAGAAAAAAGAAAGTGTGAGGGGAAGTTCTGTGGCCCACCAGTGATGCTCTCTCCTAGTCCAAATAGTTACCAAGGTTCTCTCAGGTTGGACCTGCCCTAAAAACTGAAGTAATAAGTTCTCACAATCTCTCCTGCATTAATTTCTGCCTCACCAAGTACATAACTCCATCCTTTATGTGCTTTCTGCCATGTGCAAGGTGGCTTCGACTCTGGATGAACCCCTTTCCAGTGTCAGGCCATGTAGATGGTTCCTCTCGTGTTTAAGGAGGGATGCTTTATGACTAAACCTTTTCCCACAGTCTGTGCACTCAAACGGCTTCTCTCCCGTGTGGCTTCTCTGATGATTAATAAGGTTCGATCTCTGGCTGAAGCTCTTCCCGCATTCCAAACACTCGTACGGCTTCTCGCCCGTGTGAGTCCTCTGGTGGCCGATGAGGAATTCTCTGCGGCTGAAGCTTTTCCCGCACTCCGGGCACTCGTACGGCTTTTCGCCCGTGTGAATTCTTTCGTGGATCCTAAGAACCGAGTGGCAACTGAAGTTCTTCCCGCAGCTGGAGCACTTGTAAGGTTTATCTCCTCTGTGCGTTCTCTCGTGCGACGTCAGGCTCGAGCTGTTGCTGAACGATTTCCCGCAGTCTGTGCAGCTGTACGGCTTCTCTCCCGTGTGGATTCTCTGATGATTAAGAAGGTTCGAGCTCTGGCTGAAATTCTTCCCACAGTCTAAACACTTATATGGTTTCTCTCCAGTGTGAAGCCTCTGGTGACGAACAAGGCTTGACCTAAAGCTGAAGTTTTTCCCGCAGTCTGTACACGCATACGGCTTCTCCTCCTGTTGAGGATCGGCGGGCTGTGAGAATTCTTTTTCACTTTCTGAGAATTTAGACGGTTTCTCTCCGGTCTGAGCTCCCTCTTGTTTACTGGGGGCTGAGCTGGAAATAAAGCTTTCCCCACAACTGGAACATATATGAAGACCGTTTCCAGTAAGATCAGAGTCCTGGTTGAAGTTGTGTCCGCATTCAGAGCACTTATAGGGTTTCTCTCCTGCAGGGATTATCTGATGATCACTAAGATGTGCTTTCCCACCCAAGCTGGTTCCACAATCCATATACAACTCTTCTTCTGCTTGGATGTTCTCCTGCTGAGGGGTTGATGTCCAGCTTTTTGCACCATCTGTACACTGTCGTAGCTTTTTCTCAGTTTGTGTGTTCTGGAAATCAAGGGTTTGGCTGAAGCTTTTTCCACAGCCAGGGCTCATCTTCGTATTCTTGTCCTTGTGCTCTCTCTCCTGGAAGGTGTTACGATTTAGGAGTTTGTTACCATCTCTCTCCCAAATCTGTTTTTCTCCTCCTCCTCCTCCTCCTCTCCGCCCTGGGTAGCTTCCCTCCTTCCTGTCTGCCCTTTGCTGACTTTTCGGCACATTTTCCACTTGAGGAAATGGGGGGAAATCCCATTTGGCTTTGTCCAATGAGCCACCAGAAAGTTCCGCCTGCGTCAATGCTCCTGGTTCTAGAGGCTTCTCCTCATTTTTGGCCACTTGCCTGTCCCCTGACAGAAAGAAAACACAATCGTGACATGAGTGACACCCTGCTGTGGAGACTTAAGCCACATTCACACCCTATGTTTAAAGCATTATGATGCTAATTTAAACAGCCATGGCTTTTCCTAAAGAGTTCTGGGAGTTGTAGTCCATTAAGGGTTGTTAGGAGACCATTTTCCCTCACATATTCCCCTCACAGAGCTACAATTCCCAGAGTTCCTTGCGAAGAGGGATGGACAAGCCACTCTGTAAATTGTAGCTGTGTGAGGGGAATAGGGATCGCCTAGCAACTCTCAGCCACCCTTAACAAACCACAGCTCCCAGAATCCACTTCTGCTTCCTGCCACTGCAGACTGCCCAATCAGCAAGGGTGCCGAGGAAGTACAAGGGCAGACATAGCTGTCATCCCCATTCAAGGCGTCCCCCTTCAGCAGTCTCCAAAATCTCCACCGCTAATTCATTCCCTGTTTAATTATTTCTTCTGGTATCTTCTTATGCTTCCTGCTGACCTTCAGGTGCATGACTAATAAATACTACTACTGGGTGGCGCTGTGGGTTAAACCACTGAGCTTGCCGATCAGAAGGTCAGCGGTTCGAATCCCCATGATGGGGTGAGCTCCTGTTGCTCGGTCCCTGCTCCTGCCAACCTAGCAGTTCGGAAGCACCTCAAAGTGCAAGCAGATAAATAGGTACCGCTCTGGCAGGAAGGTAAATGGCGTTTCCGTGCGCTGCCTCTGGTTCGCCAGAAGCGGCTTAGTCATGCTGGCCACATGACCCGGAAGCTGTACGCCGGCTCCCTCAGAGAATAAAGTGAGATGAGCGCCACAACCCCAGAGTCGGCCACGACTGGACCTAATGGTCAGGGGTCCCTTTACCTTTACTAGTACTACTACTACTTTCTTGTTTAACCAGGCATTTGAAGGTGGTTTTTCCTTTTTTCACACATTTTTATCATTTCATCTCCCCATTTTCTGTGTATTGCTTTTTGTGCACACTGCTTAGAAATGCCAATAATTAAGCAGCCATAAATAAATGAATGAATGAATAAATGTACTTTACCGGGTGCTCCAGTTACTAGCAGAGCCTATGCCAGTGGTTGGGACCATCTGCCCTGCAGGCCTAATCAGGCCCTCCAGGTCTCCTCCTTTGACCCATCAGGCAGTTTGGGCCAAGCTACACCCACCTGCCCTGCAAGCATCATCATGCCTGACATCAGGTGTGGGGCGGGGAAACGCACGGCTGAGCCAATAAGGGGGGGGGTTTGCAAACACCACCAATCAGCTGACTGGCATCGCCTGCAATTCCCCTCCCATCCACGGGCGCTGATTGTTGGCACTCGCAAAACGCTATGCCTTTTGCCAGCAGGATTCGAATTCAGACCACACAAGCAAAAACGGGTCACCGGACGTCCTTGCAATGCCAGGGGGTGGACAGGTGAGCAGCATCGGGGCTCTGAAGAATTACCTAGTGGCAGGTGGGGGCCTCCATCACCCACTGGCTTCTCTTCCATGTAGGGCCGTGCCTTCGTAATCTCCAAAGAGGCGAGTTTGGCTTTGGGGGGACCGGTTGCCTTCTTAAATGGCTCTGAAATCTGAAACACAATGTAGGGCATGGTTAGAAGATCTGGAAGATTAAAGGCTGTTTAGAAATAATAATAATAATAATAATAATAATAATAATAATAATAATAATAATAATTTATTTATACCCCGCCCATCTGGCTGAGTTCCCCCAGCCACTCTGGGTGGCTCCCAATCAAGTGTTAAAAACAATACAGGGTTAAATATTAAAAACTTCCCTGAACAGGGCTGCCTTCAGATGTCTTTTAAAGATAGGATAGCTGCTTATTTCCTTCACATCTGAAGGGAGGGTGTTCCACAGGGTGGGCGCCACTACCGAGAAGGTCCTCTGTCTGGTTCCCTGTAACCTCACTTCTTGCAATGAGAGAACCGCCAGAAGGCCCTCGGCGCTGGATCTCAGTGTCCGGGCTGAACGATGGGGGTGGAGACGCTCTTTCAGGTATACAGGACCCAGGCCGTTTAGGGTCAACACCAACACTTTGAATTGTGCTCGGAAACGTACTGGAAGCCAATGCAGATCTCCCAGAACCGGTGTTATGTGGTCCCGGCGGCCACTCCCAGGCACCAGTCTAGCTGCCGCATTCTGAATTGCAGTTTCCGGGTCACCTTTAAAGGTAGCCCCACGTAGAGCGCATTGCAGTAGTCCAAGCGGGAGATAACTAGAGCATCCACCACTCTGGCAAGACAGTCCGTGGGCAGGTAGGGTCTTAGCCTGCGTACCAGGTGGAGCTGGTAGACAGCTGCCCTGGACACAGAATTAACCTGCACCTCCATGGACAGCTGTGAGTCCAAAATGACTCCCAGGCTGCGCACCTGGTCCTTCAGGGGCACAGTTACCCCATTCAGGACCAGGGAATCCCCCACACCCGTCCGCCCCCTGTCCCCCTAAAACAGTACTTCTGTCTGGATTCAACCTCAATCTGTTAGAAAAAGGCCTTCCTGGATCAGGACCAAAATCCATCAGACCTAGTGGTATTGTGGTCTCAGCAGTAGCCAGCAAGGTGGGTTAGGATACTCAGCAACAGGGACAGCTAAACTAATGGGCTCTCCTTCATGGGATGTTTATCAGCAGAGGTTGGAGGGGTTCCTTAGCTGTGATTCCTGCCCTCTGCCCTGACCTGCAGTCTGGATGGGAAGATCAAACCAAGCAACAAAAAAATCATTGGGTTGACATGGCTGACTTCCAGGCAAGGGAGGGGAGTGTTGGTGTTTGAGTTCTGCTTCTCCCCCCCCCTTTTAAAAAAATACTTTTATTTTGCTTTAAACAAATACAGATAAATATAAACAACCAAAGTTACAAAGGAAAAATCCTTAATAATAGTAATAATTTTAGAAGACATCTGAAGGCAGCCCTGTTTAGGGAAGCTTTTAATGTTTGATGCATTACTATATTTTAATATTTGGTTGGAAGCCGCCCAGCGTGGCTGGGGAAGAACAGCCAGATGGGCGGGGTATAAATAATAAATTATTATTATTATTATTATTATTATTATTATTATTGAAAAAAGCTAAAAAACTACAAAAAATATCAAAGTACATGGCATAGAACATAAGCCATTATGGAAAGAAAAAAGGAAAAGGAAAGAAGGAGGAGGAGGATGGGGGGAAAAGAAAAAGAAAAAGGGGGTGGGTAGAAGAAAAGAATAAGAAGATGAGCCAAAACACAAGGAGGCTCCTCTATTGTACGCTTCCATCAAGGTCACAACAGATCATTGTTCTTAACAATTCTAAACATCTGCATTCCATAAAATCCCTCATCTTGGTATCGGGGAACATTTCCCTAGGCGGTATCATTCTAAACATAACCAGGTCTTTCTTGATGAACCCTTATACCCTAGATAATTATTTAAATTATTTAAATTACAGCCAGTGTGGTGTAGTGGTTAAGAGCGGTAGTCTCGTAATCTGGGGAACCGGGTTCGAGTCTCCGCTCCTCCACATGCAGCTGCTGGGTGACCTTGGGCCAGTCACACTTCTCTGAAGTCTCTCAGCCCCACTCACCTCACAGAGTGTTTGTTGTGGGGGAGGAAGGGAAAGGAGAATGTTAGCCGCATTGAGACTCCTTAAAGGGAGTGAATGGCGGGATATCAAATCCAAACTCTTCTTCTTCTTCTAAACATTCCCATGCTTCTTTTAGCTGCTGGTTTGCGGGTGGAAGTGCGGTTTGATCATTAGTGCATCGCCAAAGTTTTCTATTGCTGTTAAGAGGGAAGGGGGCAGAGCTGTATTGTGGGTTATTACACGTTGCATGGGTTTTGCATGAATTTTCTTTTCTGTAGTATAATAAACTGATGCATATGTATCTCGAGATAAGCTACTTGGAGACTTTTAAGGTAGGTAAAGGTAAAGGGACACCTGACCATTAGGTCCAGTTGCGGATGACTCTGGGGTTGCGGCGCTCATGTCGCTTTATTGGCCAAGGGAGCTGGTGTACAGCTTCCGGGTCATGTGGCCAGCATGACTAAGCCGCTTCTGGCGAACCAGAGCAGCGCACGGAAACGCCGTTTACCTTCCCGCCGGAGCGGTACCTATTTATCTACTTGCACTTTGATGTGCTTTCGAACTGCTAGGTTGGCAGGAGCAGGGACTGAGCAACGGGAGCTCACCCCATCATGGGGATTTGAACCACCGACCTTCTGATCGGCAAGTCCTAGACTCTGTGGTTTAACCCACAGCGCCACCTGCGTCCCTTTTAAGGTAGCAAGCAATTAATCCTTTTTAATAATAATAATAAATGAGACACAGGGAGGCCATAAGAACACAGGCCGATGGTCCAGAATCATGGTCCAGAATGTCGGATTATTTTGATTGTTGTTAGCCGCCCTGAGCCCAGCTTTGGCTGGGGAGGGCGGGATATAAATAAAATTTATTATTATTATTATTATTATTATTATTATTATTATTATTATTATTATGTTCTCACAGTGGCCAACCAGATGCTGTCAGAAACCAGCAAGCAATAGCTGTCATGGCTAGAAACCATCGATAGCCCTCTCCTCCCTGAAATCATGTTCTGGTTCCAAGGTTTATAGAAAACCCAACCTTCAGCAATGCTACTCCATACCTGAAGGAGCGTCTCCACCCCCATCATTCTGCCCGGACACTGAGGTCCAGCGCCGAGGGTCTTCTGGCTGTTCCCTCATTGCGAAAAGCAAAGCTAGAGGGAACCAGGTAGAGGGCCTTCTCGGTGGTGGCGCCTGCCCTGTGGAACGCCCTCCCTTCAGATGTCAAAAAGATAAACAACTACCTGACGTTGAACATCTGAAGGCAGGGAAGTTTTTAATGTGTGACATTTTGATGTATTTTAAATCCTTGTTGGAAGCCGCCCAGAGTGGCTGGGGAAACCCAGCCAGATGGGCGGGGTACAAATAATAAATTATTATTATTATTATTATTATTATTATTATTATTATTATTATTGTCATCATCATCATCCCACCAAAGAAGGCAGAGCTGCCGGCGTGTCGTCGGAGTCACCTGGGACGGCCAAAGTTAACAAAATTTCCTCACCCGACGCTCCTGCATCTCGACCTCCTCCTTCCAAAGCAAGAAATCTTCTGCCAGGGCCACCGCCTTGGCGCAGGTCTCAGGGCCATCGCCCCTAACCCAGCCCTGCATTTCCAAGGGCAGGATGTCCAGGAACTGCTCCAGAATCACCAGCTCCAGGATCTGCTCCTTCGTACGAGAATCAGGCTTCAGCCACCGGCGGCACAGATCCTGGAGCTTCCGCAAAACCTCCCTGGGTCCCTCGTCCTCCCGGTAGCAGAATTGCCTGAATCGCTGGCGTTGCCTCTCCTTTTCCAGAACCCCTCCTTCCACGCTCAGTGGAGAACTCTGACTTCTGGGGACTTTCCCAACGAGACCCAGCAAGGTCTGAGACTCCAGCTTTCCTCTCGGCCCACGGTTGCCGTCGGCGACGGCCTTCAGCGATGCTGAAGATAACGCCACGTCGTCCCGGCCTACAAATCCAGGCACCTGGGATTTGCCTCTCTCTGAGCCAGTTCCCTCCTGGGATTTCTGCCACTCCCAATGCTGGACCAAGTCTTCATCTAGCTCCCCTTTAACCAGCTGTGTGCCGACGCCAGACAGAAACCTCCCGGCCTGGCCGAGACGAGGGTCTCTTATTCCTTCCTCCATTTTCTCCCCTGGAACTGGCACAAGCGACGTTCTGGTCCGCCACTTTTATTCCAGGCCGTGCACCCTGTCCTGGAAGAAGTTGAAATGAGAATTGAATAAAAGCACCCACCCACCCACAAAATGGATCGAGCCAAGAGTCCATTTGGCCCAGAGTTCTCTTCCCGGCAAAGGCCAGCTATATGACAGGACTTCGCTGCTGTCGCCGTCCGTCCCTCCCACTTCCCCATGGAGGTTCCATTCAGCCATTGCTCCTTCTATTCCCAACGTTCAAAACACAAGTGTCAATCTTTATGCAGCCAAAAATATATATCGGCATGCTTGAGGAAACCCCAAGGTTTGCAAATGGTTCAAAAATATTCAGGCAGTTAAAAAAAATTTTTTTTCAAAGGTGAGGGAAAAAACACCCTTCCGAAATACTCCACTGAATTCTGAACATGCTCAGAGGCCATGGAAGGCTGACTGACTGTTGGGGAAGGTGGCTATCACAGCTCATAGCCTTTTGATTGGCACCTTGATAAACAAGTCCCAGGCCATTGTGGCTGTCACTACTCAGTTCTGAATAATGCAAACATTATTTCCATTTTGGCAAGGGCAAAGAGTAGAGAAATAACTCCTAGGAGCTGCTGTAACTTGCCACGGTTTTTAATGTGCTTTCAGGAAGACCCTTTTCGGAGCTGTTTTCCGCTTCCGTAGCCACGCAGGGTGGGGACCCGACCCACCCAGATGCACACTTACTTCTCCCACAGGGGAGTAGCCAGGATTTTTGTTAGGGGGGGCAGAACATTAGCTAGCTATGTATTTTTATTTATTTTTGGGGTAGCCACCCCTCCCTGGCTACGCCCATGCCTGGGAGTAAGCCCCACTGAGCCCTGCAAAATATTTACTACTTCAGTAGTAAGTGCACCAAAAATGGGAGCACAAAATCTCCTTTTTAGCTGGGAACGAAGTCCACTGAATTCAATCATACACGCTACCTTGTAAATCGGGTTTTCTGATTCTTGAAACAAATAATGTCAGTACCCGTTTGTGCGTGGAGGGGAGAGACGCAGAAAACAGCTGCGTTTGGCAATACTTGGGACACAATCCGGTGCAAAATCTGCCTGCCTGCCTGACGTGTACAGGTAAAACTATGGAGTATGGGGAGCCAGCCTTGCCCCTTTCCTTTCAAGTAGCCTGAAAGTGAAATAACCAGTCCAGCCAGTTTTGGGTTCCTCCCCCAATCCTGGTAGGCTGGCACCCTTACGTGCCCCTGCTTGTTCTGCAACCTTGTGGGGAAGACTTGCCTGGCTGGAAAATTAGCTAGTCTGGCCTCAGGGCACTGTCAAATTGGGGGCAGGGGGTGGAGATGGGAGGAGGGGTCTCCTTCAGAGAAGCATAAATATGCTTCTAAACATTTTTTTTATTGTTAATAAATTATATAAGAATAAGTATACATGACCTGTATCTTAATATGTGATTTTATTTCACACTGTATATTGTTATGCGTTTGGGGCAGGGAGGAACAGTCTGGGTGTTATCCCCAGGTCCCTTCAAGCTCTGTATCTGTGGGGGTAGAATCTATGAGGGGAAAACTTGCCTAACCAGTTCTTTTTATTGAAGTAATGGCTTTGGCTGGCTAGCTCAGTTGGTTAGAGCAATAATGTCTTTGCCTGGCGCAGAAAGGGCTTCAGAGAAGAAGCCAGCCAAGCCACTCTGGGGGAGGCCGTTTCGCAATCATATTCCCTATTTAGTACGTTTTTATTCTGCCTTCCCTCCAAAGAGTTCAGGTCCTACCCTCAAAACAACCCTGCAGGGTAGGTCAGGCTGAGTGACTGCAACTGGCCCCATGGGGCCCTGTGAGCTTCCTGGCTAAGAGCAGGGATTTAGAAACTGGCTGGTTCTCCCTGGCGGGTGGCTGGGGAGGAAATCCACCACTCAGCAGAACCACAAAACCACCATACGTCAATTCTCTCACCCCATCCATACAACACATACCCATAAGGAAATCCCACTGAGATCAATAGGTTTACTCCCAGGCAGATGAGTACATATGCAGGCTGACCAGCACCAAGCAGTGACTTGCAGCACAAGTCTACCCCTACCAAATTCAACGGGGCTTGGTTCCATGTGAGCAGGCTCGGGCTGGCAGCCTTGCCTCGGAGTAAAGACGCACCAGGGTGGGCCGTTTATGAAATATCCGCGCGCAGCTCAGTCAGTGGAGCAGAACACTTTTAACCTCAGGCTCGGGGGTGCAAAAGATTCCTGCATTGCAGGGGGTTGGACTAGATGGCCCTTGGAGTCCCTTCCGACTCTACAATCCCGCGATTCTTCGCCCCAAACCGATCCCCTCGCCTTCCCCTCTCTGCCCATCCGTGCGCCTTGCTCTGCTGCACGGTCCGCGGATGTGAAAGGAGGACGGGGGAGAATTCTTTGGAGACAGTCCCCATCCCGGGTGGTTGGCCGACACAGCTCCATCCGTCCACGGTCACGGATTTCCTGCTTGGCGGCTCCCTCTCCCTCCTGCTGCTGCTGCAGCAGCAGCTGGGGGGGTTCCCACCTCCCTCCCGGGCTCCTCCACTCACCTTTACCTGGCGAGATTCCCCAACCTTGTGCGCCCCTCGCGCATCGCAGGCCCAGCGCGCGGGCGCCTCCAGGTCACTCCCCGCAGGAAAGGGACCTCTCTCTCTGCCTGTCTCTCTCTGAGGTAGGTGGGTGGGGTTGAAAGCTGGCCAGAGAGATCGCAGGATCCTAGAGAGACCGAGTTGAAGAAGGCGAGGCCAACTCCTCCTTCCTCCTCTTCTTCCTCCTCCTCCATCACCGTGGGAAAGCGCCCATTATATTTCCCACCCTTTCGGATAACTGCGCGGGGCGCTTTCCCTATCCTTTTTGCATCGCCTGAGTGTGCGTTTCTTTCCAGCTCCAGGTCATATAAAAGGCATTACACACCCACACCCACCCAGATCAAAACCTCTGTTAAAAGATACAGCAGCAGGTCAGCCGGTGCGGTTTTATGTTTAGCCACTTAGCAACCTTGTTCACACGCTCAGTTCCCTGGGGGGGTGGGGGGGAGATGCTCAAACGGTTAAACAAGCAGAGCTGAAATTCCTAGAGAGAGAAAGCAGGAAACGTGTGATTGGGTAGCTGCGATAATAAAAAGAGGGAAAGGAAAGGAACGAAGCAGGAGGCTTTTTCCTGTCCCTCCCTCTTTAGGGAGAAATGCCTTTTTGGTGCAATTGTGGGCTGCAGATCCTGGCCCCCGGAAGGGGCTGGACAAAGTGGGTGAGTGGTAGCAGAGGAAGGGATATCTGAAGGGTCTGGGGTGGCAGAAGAAAGAACACCCGCCCCATGACTGGTGCAAGAAGAGGGAGTCGGTGGGGTTACAAACACAGGCACTCCAGAGAGCAGGGAAATGCAAAGGGTCTTCTTGCTACGCTGAAAATCAGGAACTGACTAAGCAAACATCCTGTAATAAACGAAAATCTGCCCTTCTTCCCTTATGGGGGACACAAGAGCCCATAGAGTCCTTTGCAGGTTCCCCATCAGTCGGAGAAAAGAACAGAGGCTAACCAGAGAATATTGAGAAGCAAAGCAGCTTGTAAGCCTGATCTTTATTAAACTGTTGCAACAGAGTGCCCCCTTCAGGCCCTCTGCCCGATTCCCTGTAACTTCGTTTCTCGCAAGGAGGGAACCGCCAGAAGGCCCTCGGAGCTGGACCTCAGTTTCTGGGCTGAACGATGGGGGTGGAGACGCTCCTTCAAGTATACTGGACCAAGGCCATTTAGAGCTTTAAAGATCAGCACCAATACTTTGAATTGTGCCTGGAAACATACTGGGAGCCAGTGTAGGTCTTTCAGGACCGGTGTTATATGGTCTTGGCGGCCGCTCCCAGTCACCAGTCTAGCTGGATTAGTTGTAGTTTCCGGGACTGCATACTAAATCTCATTGAACTCAATAGGGCATATGTCTGATTAGATGTGTACAGGATTGCACTCTGTGTGTTTTCTTTTCATTATGGTTCCGGGGGCGGGGGGCGGGGAGGCAGCTCCGTTAGTCTGGATTCAGTTAAAATAAAATAAAAATCCACAATGTCCGGCCAACAGATTTATTGTGACATTCATTTTCATGGTCCAGGACCCATTTTTGTCAGACAGATGGATACTTGACCCCAGCATCTAGTATTCAGATACAATGCCTCTGCACAAGGAGGTTCTGTTTGGCTCTTTGCACACCTCTGTGAGTGTCTCTTACCCTCTTAAACCAAAGGCCTCTCTAGTCCGGCATTCTCCGTTTCCCCCAGAGGTTTGCTAGATGCTTCTGAGCACAATAACAGTCTTCCACCTATGTTCCACAGCAGTTGGTACCAGAGGGCAGGCTGCCTCTGCTACTGTAGGTAATATATAGCCATCATGACTAGTAACCACTGATAGCGTTGACCTCCGTGAATTTGTCTAACCTGCCGTAAGCTGCCCAAGTTGGAAGCCATCACTGCATCATGGGGCAGTGAGTTCCTCAGTTTAAGTATGCCCTTTGCGAAGCAGCCTCGCCTTTTGCTGGTCCGAGATCTCCTGCCCTCCAGCGTCCTGAGGTTTTAATATGAGAAGAGAAAGAAAAACGTCTCCCCATCCACTTTCTCCATGCTGTATAAAGTTACAGGTCTCTTATCATGTCTCCCCACCCTGTCTTACTTGCCTTTTCTATAAGCTAAAAAGCCTTTCTGGGACCTTTCTGGGCAGTCCCTTGGTCGTTGTGACTGCCCTCGCCAGGGATTAAACTTCTGCCAGCAAGCTAAGTGCTATATCACTGCGCTACAATCTTCTTTCATGACAGGTAATTCTGTTTTTGCTGAGGGGGAGAGGATTATGTACAGTGGTATTAGGTACCTCGGGTTACATACACTTCAGGTTACAGACTCCGCTAACCCAGAGATAGTACCTTGGGTTAAGAACTTTACCTCAGGATGAGAACAGAAATCGGTCAGCGGGAGGCCCCATTAGCTAAAGTGGTACCTCAGGTTAAGAACGGTTTCAGGTTAAGAACGGACCTCCGGAATGAATTAAGTACGTAACCAGAGGTACCACTGTATTCTTTTCTCTCCCAAATTGATAATGAGGGAAGAATGAAGGAAAATCCTCAGTTCTTAGAAAGCCTGGAGTGCCATTGACATTTGCCCCTCACATTCTGAGACTAAAATTATTTATTTATATATATATACAGTCATACCTCATGTTACGTCCGCTTCATGTTACGTTCTTTCAGGTTACGTCCTGCGGCGACCCGGAAGTACCGGAAAGGGTTACTTCTGGGTTTTGCTGCTCACGCAGAAACGCAAAATGACGTCACAAACATGCGCAGAAGTGGCGAATCGCAACCCGCGCGTGCGCAGATGCGCCGCTGCGGGTTGCGCTCTTTTCATGTTGCGAATGGGCCTCCGGAACGGATCCCATTCGCAACCAGAGGTACCACTGTATACGAATGAAATGAAAAAAACACACACACCTTCTTTGCCTGAAAGTTGACTGAGGTGACACACAAACTTCAAAAGCACATCACGCACAAATCACTTCACAATCTCGTTTAGGATCTGTACTCCGAAACGGACGCCTGCCGTGTCCCGAGCTCAGCTTTTGCGCGGCTTCCCTGCCGTGTGGGTTCTCTCATGAGCAGTAAGGGTGGAACTCTGGTTGAAGCTTTTCATGCAGTGCGAGCACTTGTAGGGCTTCTCCCCGGTGTGGATCCTCTCGTGCCGAATCAGGTGTGCTTTGTGGCTGAAGCTCCTGCCGCAGACCAGGCAGGTGTAGGGCTTCTCTCCCGTGTGGCTTCTCTTGTGCCTGTTAAGGTTCGACTTCCCGCTGAAGCTCTTCCCGCAGGCCGTGCAGGTGTACTGCTTGACCCCCGAGTGGCTCCTCTGGTGGCCAATCAGGTCCGTCCGGTGCTTGAAGCTCTCGCCGCAGTTGGGGCACTTGTAGGGCTTTCCCCCCATGTGGATCTTCTCGTGGCGGAGGAGGTGGGCCTTGTGGCAGAAGCCTTTCCCACACACCGAGCAGAGGTACGGCTTCTCGCCGGTGTGGCTCCTCTCGTGCCTGGTGAGGTTGGACCTCCCGCTGAAGCCTTTCCCGCAGACGGCGCACGCGTACGGCTTGTCGCCCGTGTGGGTCCTCTCGTGGATGACATAGTCGGAGCGGTGGTTGAAGCCCTTCCCGCAGGCCGGGCACTCGTACGGCTTCTCGCCCGTGTGGCTCCTCTCATGCGAGGCCAGCTTGGCGCTCTGGCCGAAGCTCCTCTCGCAGTGCGAGCATTTGTAGGGCTTCTCCGTGTGGGTCCTCTCGTGGGAGATGAGGGTGGAGCTCTGGCTGAAGCTCTTCGGGCACCGCGAGCATTTGTAGGGCTTCTCGCCCTGTGTGGATCCTCTCGTGGCGCGTCATGTGCGCTTTGTGGCTGAAGCCCCGGCCACAGGCGGAGCAGGCGTACGGCTTCTCTCCCGTGTGGCTCCTCTGGTGCCGGTTGAGGTTGGACCTCCCGCTGAAGCTCTTCCCGCAGAACGAGCAGATGTGGGGCTTCTCCCCCGTGTGGGTTCTCCAGTGAGCGAGGAGGTAAGACCTCACGTTGAAGCCCTTCCCGCAGAGCGAGCACTTGTGGGGCTTCTCTCCCGTGTGGGTTCTCTCGTGAGCGAGGAGGTACGAGCGCCCATTGAAGGTTTTCCCGCAGTGGGAGCAGGCGTACGGTTTCTCTCCTGCGTGGCCTCGCTCCTGGGAGAGGAAGTATTTTCTCCAGACGAAGGCCTTCCCGTAGTTGGAGCATTTGTAGGGCTTCTTGCAAACTCTCTTCCCTGCCTGGCTTCCCTGCGGCCTTTCTGCTCTGTACTGACTGGCTCTCCGGAAAACGCTCCCTCTAGACGTCAACGATGCCCTCGTGGGCTCCGTGGGCTTCACGCTCCCAAGCAGAAAATCCCCCTCTTCTTTGGCGCAGCCATTGCCTGTCAGAAGCAACAGGGAAATCAGGACACCACACGTCAATTCCCGCGCAAATGATCATTCTGCTTCATGTATTGATTACGAGTTCCTGGCAGGGACTGGCAAGATGCTGACAAGTGTTTCAGGGGAAACGGGGCTGGAATCTGACTCGGGAGCTGGGGCCAGTGGTGGTGGTGAACTATTCCAGTCAGGAAGGGACGTGGGTGGCGCTGTGGGTTAAGCCACAGAGCCTAGGACTTGCCGATCAGGTCGGCGGTTCGAATCCCCGCGACGGGGTGAGCTCCCGTTGCTCGGTCCCTGCTCCTGCCAACATAGCAGTTTGAAAGCACGTCAAAGTGCAAGTAGATAAATAGGTACCACTCTGGCGGGAAGGTAAACGGCGTTTCCGTGCGCTGCTCTGGTTCGCCAGAAGCGGCTTAGTCATGCTGGCCACATGACCCGGAAGCTGTACGCCGGCTCCCTCGGCCAGTAAAGCGAGATGAGCGCCACAACCCCAGTCGGTCACGACTGTACCTAATGGTCAGGGGTCCCTTTACCTTTACTATTCCAGTCAGGGGGGGAAGAGTCAGAGGCAGGGGAAGTTTCAGAGCTGGAGTGTGGAGCCCAGGATGGATTGGAAGAAGAGGAAGAGGCAGGTCAAGAGGCAAGTGAGGAGGCAGGTGCTTCCCCATCTTCTCCAGCACCTCTGTCTCCCAGAACCAAGAGGGGAATGAACAGGGATGAACAGAGGACATTTCCATGCAGGCACAGTCTCCAGGTGTGCGCATACAGCCCAGCAGGGAAAGGTATATTCCAGGCATCTAGTATTGTGATGTTTAGGTGCCGTCTGAAGACATTTTTGTTTTAAGATGGGTTTCCCTGAGGGATGACTCGGTTAGCTATGGAACAATACCATAACCGATTAAAACTACAGCGGTGCCTCGCAAGACGAAATTAATTCGTTCCGCGAGCTTTTTCGTCTAGCGAATTTTTCGTCTTGCAAAGCACAAAATCCCATAGGAATGCATTGAAATTCAATTAATGCGTTCCTATGGTCAAAAAAAGTCCAAACAAAGCCAAATTTGGTACAACAAGAGTTTATTAAGTGCTCTTT